GAGAAAAAAAAAACAAAGCCAAGTTTATTTTATTTCTTACGTTTTGCTGATTTTATTTAATGTTATTTATCTTTCTCTGGCCTTATTTTTTTTTGTTATCCTTTTTCCCGTTTTGTCTGAACTGTTTTAGTATTTTTTGTCGCTCTCTTGTTGCTTTTTTGCGTTTTTTTTTTATGATTTCTCCCACCTTTTTTTGTTTTTTGTGTTTTTTATGTCGATTTTCCCCCTTTTATTTCTCACTTTTTTCATCGCGCTTTCTTTTGTGATCATTTTCTGTTCTCTTTTTTTTTCTGTTTTATACCGTCTTTTTTCGGGTGATTTATTTTTAATATATATAATTAATATTTTTTGAATTTGCTTATACAGGGTGTCTCAGAAAAATTAATGACTCAGTTGGTAAAAAATAGATATCCAGTCAGATTTAGGAATTTCACTCGTTACTATGGAAATATGCAATTTAACACCTTTTAAATTTAACAAGTTTACAAGTTTAATAGGAGCAAAATTTGTCTTATCTTAGCAAGTGCTAGCCCCGCCCACCCGCCCTCTATTTTCTCAGAGGATATGTCATTTTGCCAAAATAAGACTTATCCTAGCAAGTACTACCCTCTGAGAAAATAAAGGGTGGGTGGGCGGCGCTAGTACTTGGTAAGATAAGACTGATTTTAGAAAATGCTTAGTGTTTAAGATAAAACTGATTTTGTAAAAACTTGTAAAATTTAAAGGTGTTGAATTACAAATTTTCATAGTAACGAGTTAAATTCCTATTTATTTATGGCGTTTTTGTGGCTTTTCTTTTCGTTTTTTCCTACCTTCTTTGTTGTTTTTCTTTCATCTGCTTATTTGCGTATTTCGTCGACTTTGGTTCTTTTTCTGTTTTTTTATGCCAACTTTTTCTTGGTCCCAGTTTAGTGTCTTTTTATCGTTTTTTTTTATGTTTTTTTTTTGTCGTAATTAAGGGGACTTGCTAGACGAGGTATAATATTTTTTTGGTTTTTTGTATGAAAAAATGATATTAATATAGATGTATCATACATCAAACTGCACCTTTTTTCATATTCTAGAGCGCAGAGACCAGTTCAATCAATTAAAAAAATATGGCTGAGAAATATCGTAACAAAAGCACCATTGTGTGTTTTCTTTTCAAGTTTTTTGAGTGATAACCATCATAGAATCGCTTGAAAATTCGCACATGGATAAAACATCACGTTTTACAGGCCGCAGAGTCATTAAATGTTTGTTAGTGGTACAATTTGTTTAAATAATAATGTGTTTATTAAAATCAAAATATACCACAAATTAATGCAAAATACGTCGAATAATTTTAACAGGAATATCAGAGGAAAATTAATGATCTATTGGTTAGCAGAGTTTTTAACAAAAACTAACAATTATTGAAAAAAATGGGTATCAATTCGACAGAATTTGAGCAGTTAGTTCAGTACTTTGCCGATAGGAGCGCCACTAAAATTTACGGAAGCGACTTTCCAGGTAAAACCCTTATCGCCTGCTCTACCATAAGCTGATTGTTAGAGTTCTCGGCTGATTTTTCTAATTTATGGCAAGGAACTCAGTTTTATAACAAGCCGCCAGGACCGGCCGTTGTATAAGTTGACTCAAAAAATTTAATGAATGCGTAAACTTATTTTATTAATTTAATCAGGAACTACAAAACCGAATACATTGAAATCTTGGAAATGTTTTAAATTTATCATACGCCTGGTAAATTTTTGATCAAAAAAAATATGATGAGTCTCTTCTTGTGATTTATCATTCCATTCATGTTTTTTGGATTTGCATATACAGGATGACCCCAAAAATTAATGAATGCTTAAATTTATTTTATTGAGTTAATCAGGAACTACAGAACCCAATGCTTTGAAATCTTGCAAATGTTTTAAGGTTGTAAAGAGCATAATAAATTTTTAGTCAAAATATATTTGGTTATCTTCCCCAAAAAATTGATGACGTCAGCTCAAAAGTTTGCCGTATAATCCTATTTAAAATGTACAAAATATGATGAGTCTCTTCTTGTAATTTATCATTCCATTCATATTTTTTGTATTCGGATATACAGAGTGACTCAAAAAATTTAATGAATGCGCAAATTTATTTTATTGATTTAATCAGGAACTACAAAACCGAATGCTTTGAAATCTAATGTGAAAAAAAACATAATAGGCATCGTCACGTTTCCGATAGCGAGGGAAGTACTGTCTAAACTCTTTAGACCGATTTTTTTGATTTTCCCATTTCTCCATTTCTCAATTTTTCAATGTTTCAGTTCTGAGATTTTTTCACTGTTTCGATTCTTTAATTTTCTTTCCAATTTTAGGTTTTTCAATATTTCAGCTTTGGAATTTTGCAATATACGTTTCTTCAATTTTTCAAATTTTTGATGTTGTTTTCTCGGTTTTTAAATTTTTCGATATTTTAATTTTTCAGTTTATAAAGTTTTAGATTTTTAGATTTCTCACCAGTTCCATAATTTTTCAATATGCTGAATTTTCAAATTTTAGATTTTTTGTTTTCTTTGATGTTTCGAGTTCTCTCTCCATCATTCGATTTTGGATTTTTTTTGTTGTTCAATTCTTGGACTTTTAAAATTTTTGTTTTTTAAATTTTACTATTCATCAACTTACTGGGATTTCAATGTTTTGATTTTTTGATTGTTCAATTTCTGGATTTTTTGAATTTTTAGTTTTTGATACGATTTTTTTTTTTAAATTTTCAGTTTTTCAATTTATTAACTTTACGATACTTCAATTTTGCTCGATTTCTCAATTTTCCGATGTTTCAGTTTTACGATTTTTAATTTTTTTTATTTTTCAGTTTTTAATTTTTGACGTTTCTAAATTTTTCGATTAACTGATTTTTTGATTTTCCCATTTCTCTATTTCTCGATTTTTCAATTCTTTCTTCAATTGTGATTTTTCAATTTTTCGATTTCTGAATTTTTCAATGTTTCAGTTTTGGATTTTTTCTCTTTTCCAATTCTTCAATTTTCTTTCCATTTTTCAGTTTTTCAAGATTTCAGTTTTGGATTTTTTCACTTTTTCGATTTTTCAATTTTCCTTCCATTTTTCAGTTTTTCAGTATTTCACTTCTGGGATTTTGCAATGTTTCGGTTCTTCAATTTTTCCATTTTTTGATGTTTCGATTTCTCGGTTTTTCACTTTTTCGATAGGTATTTTAATTTTTCAATTTTGAAGTTCTAGATTTTCCGTTAATTTTTTTGTTTTCCTTGATGTTTTGGTTTGTCGATTATTCGATTTTTCAAGTTCTCGGTTTAGATTTTTTGGTTTTCCAATTCTTCGGTTTTTAAATTGTTTAATTTTTAGATTGTTCAATTTGTCGATTTTTAGATTTTTCAATTTTTCGGTTTACCGATTTTTTTTTCATTTAAAATGTTTCAATTTTTCAATTATTAATTTTTCGATTTTTCAATTTTGGTCTAATTTGATTTCTTAATTTTTTGATTTTTTGACTCCTCTACTGTACGATGTTTTGATTTCTCGTTGTTTCAGTTTTTGAATATTCCGATGTTTCGATTTTTCGACTTTTTGGCTTTTCGAATATTCAATTTTTTGATTTTTGAATTTTAGATTTTTGTTTTTTTGATTTTTTTGGTGTTTCGATCTCCCAATTCTACAATTTTTCGATATTTTTATTTTTCAATTTTTCGAATTTTTAAATTTTTGATTTTTCTTTTCTTTTATTTCTCAATTTTTGGATTTTTTAAATTTTACATTTTTCAATTTTACTATTTTTTTAAGCTTGGATTTCTCAATTTTTCAAGTTTTCAATACTCAATTTTTCAGGATTTGAATATTGAGAACTTTTCAATTTCTGGATTTTCAATTTTCAGATATTTTAATTTTTTGATTTTTTAATGTTTCGATTTTTGGGTGTTTTGATTTTTCGATTTTTAAAGTTTTTGATTTTTCGATTTTTCCAATTTGTTGTCTATTTTAAGTATATTTCATTTTTCAATTTGCGCCTTCTGCGGGAGTATTATTTGTTGTGCTGCACTTGACGGGCGAGGGAAGTTCTGTCGAAATAACCTTCGACCAATTTTTATACTTAGCACGTAGGGTTCTTATTAAGCATTCCTTATTTAACCGAACAGTTATTAATTTAACTAAGCAGCTATTATTTCACCAAGCATATATTATTTTTACTGAGAATTTATTTTTTAACTGAGCATTTATTATATAACTTAGCATTTATCATTTTTACCGAGCAAAAATACAGAGCGTTTAAAAATAGAACTGTGCATTTTCCCTTATCTAAATAACGAGAAAACGGTATTAATAATACATTTAGGCGAATAAAGTAAGAGACGGGCTTGATAAGCCTTGTTTGCTCTACAGTGTCTAAATTGTGTTTGAATAATATAATACTTATCTCGAATATTAAAATTAATATGTCAAAAGAATACGAGAAATGATTATTCTGTGCTGAAGGTATGTTGTGGGCCGCCTGTCATAAATTATCATTATTCTTCATTATCGGCTTACGATGTTTTTATGACCCAGGTTCGGTAGTCGTCTATCCCAGCGCGTCAGGTAAATTTAAAGAAGAATTGCTGGTTGCGTTTAAGGCAACAAATGGTACCCATTTCAAACTTGCCTCTTGTCTAACGTACCCCCTTAAATGAATCTAAAAAGTGTCTGCAACCAACAATACATTCGCTGCACAAAACTCGTTTAGGTGGTCACAGGAACCAGAAAAAAACTGTCTGAAACACTCAACTTACAAAAAATAAGTCACATTGTGTTGTTTTATTTTAGCAAACGAACATTATAATAGTTTTACTTTTTCTATAAAAAATGAACTTGTCGCTGTCGATGTAACAGTTTCCTGTAATTATAATTTGAGCAAACCTTCTCGATCTCCTATGATCCTGTTCTGAGATGGAATATTCAGGCTCGCAAATTTTGCGCGCAGTTACAAAAGTAACTCTTTCTAATTTGAAATTATTTATTAATATCGTTTTATACAAAGTTGACTATTATGCAAGGTGTCAATGTAATATGATACAAAATGATCGGCACCCATAATAATTACATAACAGGTAAATAAACCCTGAGACTAAAAAAACCTTGGTCTGGAAGCTCATTACAATAAATTAAATAAATACTTAAACTAATTAAAAGCTAACTCTGGCACTTTTTCTCCAAAACAACTCTATAGCCTTTACTCGCCTTCCCCACGAACGAAAACGTCAACTCAATCTCCTCCACACTCCTATAATCCATCACTTTCGCAATCTTGTACCTCCTCAAAACCGTCGCCAAAGTGGCCTTCATCGACAACATGGCATACCTAGAACCTGAGACACCCTCAAACCACGAAAACCTCATCCTCGAAACCAACCTGGACAGTTCCTGGAGCCAATACTGAACGGAATATACGCAAACCGGTTCCTCTTTGCCGTTTCCTCGGGCAGGAACCTATCAGGATCGAATTTCAACGGCTCCGACCAATACTCGGGGTTCCTGTGAATATGCTGGACGAGCACCACGAACCTACACCCAGCCGGAAGCACGTAGGGATCTGGTAGACATAAATCTAGTCTTGAAAAAGACCGAAGTCTTCACCTACCTAGAGCGACGTTGCGGTTGATTTCGCGCCCGATTAGCGGCAAAGGGGGGAAGAGGCGCAGGCTTTCTTTGATAACGCGGTCCAGGTAGTCCAGTTGGGAAAGGTCTTCAAGGGTGGCGTCTCGGTCAGTGTGGCCGAACACTGAATGTAGCTCTTCGGAGACTTTTTCCTATGATTATTACAATAACAACAATTTCAAAAAATGAAAAACGGGTTTACTTGGACTTCTGGGTGCATTCCTAACATCAAGAGCACAGAACTGGCACCCACCGCTGTGGTTTCGCTGGAAATCGGGAGAAGAGTCGAGGCGATTCGTAGCAACAATTCGTACGAAAATTGGTTTTCGTGGTTGGAGTGAATCAAATGACTCAATAAACGTTTCTCACCATCTAGAGCAAGTTTAGTGAAGTAATAGTAAGTGAAAATTTACTCTTACCTTGTGTGATTTTTTTCAAAGATTCGTTTTCGTCTACCATCTACAATGAAAAAGTGCAACCAACAATACACGTGTGTTTAATGGGGTGCGGGTTTACCTTCTCTGCAAACTGATGAGCCCTTTGACAGATCTCTCGAATTTCGTTTTTATACGAAGAGCGGTCCCAAAAATACTTGAAGAAATACAAGGGGTTGAAAAATCGCTTGAGTACGATTTCTTCGAACCTGAGGACATCCCTGACGCTCTGTTTTTTACCGGTGAGGAGCTTGGGGTGGACACCTCCGATGGTTTCTGTTACAAAATTTTGAGCACGATTTTTAAAATTGGGGTTGTAAGTTACCACAAGCTGCGTTCGTGCCTAGGTTCCACATGTTTAAGAAGAGGTCTACGGGTTTTCCGACCTCGAGGTTTTCCGTCACTCTTCGAGCTTCTCTGATGAAGATGGAAGCGAAACAGTTCACCACGTTGGGTTTGAAGAAGTGGTCCATTACTTTTCGTTGTTTCTTCCAAACGGATACTAGAAAATTTTCTTCGATTCTCTTGCTCAATTTTTCAGAATTTATACTCACATGGAGCGAAGATAATCGTGTCTTTGAAATAATCGTCGGCGATTATATCGTAAAGTATGCCTTTGTCTAGACATCTGGTGAACACCTTCTCCACGTACTCCGCCTTGGAAGTACACACATAGAGAGTGTCGATCCAGAACCTTCCAATCGGGGCGTATTTGTCATAATACTTACAAATAGTGGCGTGTATTTCTACAAAAATTAATTAATAGAAATACAAATTTTGTTGGAGCGGAACTACTTTTCACGTCCTCCAGGAGGTACATGTTCCCGATTAACGGAAAAGCCACGGGTCCTGGAAATTTCGACCCATGGTAGTACAACCATCGCCTGTTCCAGACGAACGTGAGTATTAACCGAAGTACCAAAATCGCTGTCACACAAATCAAAGCATCTGAGATAGTACAAAATCTGGATAAGCGTGACATTGCGAACCCGCCGAACGTTCAATCAAAACTGATCGTTATTGTTGCGGGTTTTATGGGTTAGCCGAATTATCAATGGGGATCAAAACATATTCACGCACATGCACACACTTTTCGAAGAAAAAAAAACAAGTTTGTAATGTGTGTTAGGAGGTCAAGAGATGTCCAAAATTACGAAATCGGCCTATATTTTTTTTGGTGCAATGTTTTTGTGTACCTAGTGATTTAGGGGTGTGCAATTTAGTCAAACCATGAAGTAGACTTGTTTTTGTACCGATTGAAGACACAATCGGATTTGTTGGAATAAAAATGTAAACAAAAACAAATTTGAAAGTACCAAATTTCTCGTGTAAAAATCACGGCGAAATTAATTAAAGTCATGGCGGTCGTACTAAACCAGTTTGCAGGCTTGCAGCATGAATTGAAATTTTCTAGTATCGTATTGTTTGCCGATTTACTACGTTCATAAAGGTGTCAAGGAATTCAACACGCACCCAACAAAAATAATAAAATATTTGGGGGAAGACTTGGCAATGACAGTGATCTTAATAAACGCGTAAAATCCTTTCGCATTCCGTTCTAGACGCCGGCATGCAAAACCTTGGCGTACGCAAATGTTTTGAGCCTATGGGCGGATCACTTTTGCCCGTCGTCACTGAAGGAGGCGGTCCAAATTGTCCAAGGGCAGAATTTGTAGGTAGGCTCAAACGACAAGAAAATTTACGTGTTGACCAAATTTTTACTCTGAATTAGTTTTAATTTTATAAATACCCTATCTAAAGTGTTCAGAATATGATGAGTCTATACTTGTGATTTACCATTCCATTTATATTTTTTGGATTTGTTTATACATACAAGGTGACTCAAAAAAAAAATGACTGAGTATGAATTTATATATTTTATTGAAGAAATCAAGAATTGCAAAACTGAATACTTTGAAATCTTGTCAATTAGTTGGAACCTGAGCCCCCTTTTTTTTGCAATATCTGTGATGTGCTATTAGTTTCCATAACTTATAAAATTAGAAAAAAAAACCCGTTCTGCTCAAATAAAATCGAGAATATGCTCAAAATCACACTAATATTAGGTCTAATTGTGCCGACCACAGTTATAAAATTCACATTAAAATAAGTCACGGACATTTTTTGAAGAGTACTACATTTCAAAAAACAAAAAAAAAAATCAGTTTATAAACTTCATAATTTTGGTTTAAAGTTTATCAATCATGTTTGACGCTTTATTTTATCCGACCATTACTGCGGTCTCTCTTGGGTCGAGGTATAACACCGGACCGAACGTTCTTCGACGGATAGGATAATTTATTACTTCCGACATCTTTTCGGTGAGAAATTTAATCTTCGCATACTTCAGCGTAGTTAGTGAACTCGTTGTGACCACTGAAATATACAAAGAGTAAATTTTGAAATGGAACGAAAGTCGAAGAATACTTTCAAAGCCACGATCAAAATGTATTTGCTTATCTTCGCCAAAAAATGCATGACGTCATCGTAAAATTTGATATGATGAGTCTATACCTGTGATTTATCATTGCAGTAATATTTTTTAGATTTACTTTTACAGCCTGTCTCAAAAAAAGGTCGCTTCGATTTTCGATTTTTCGTTTTTTCGACCAACAGTTTCATCGAATTAGATTTTCCAGTTTCCATTTTTCTATCAACTTTTCGATTTTATTATTTTCTAATTTTCTGATTTTTCAAATTTGCGGTATTTTGATTTTTCGAGTTTTCAGTTTTTTCGTTTTTTCGATTTTTTAATTTTTCGTTTTTTTGATTTTTCAATGTTTCGATTTTTTAATTTGCCATTCTTTCAATTTTCGATTTTTCGTCTTTCCATTTTTAGATTTTTTGATTTTTCTGTTCGTCAGTTTTTAGACTTTGCAATTTTTTTGCATTTTTCGATTATTTTTTACTTTCTGATTTTTTTGATTTTTGAATTCTCGATTTTACGTTTTTAATTCTTCGATTTCCGATTTTTCAATGTTCCGGTTTTTTAATTCTTCTATTTTCGATTTTTCGATTTTCCATTAATCATAAAATTTTTCGATTTTTCGGTTGTTTTATTTTTCGACCTTCGATTTTTCAACTGTCGATTATTCGATTTTCCATTTTCTGATTTTACGATTTTTCGATTTGCGATTTTCCGATTTTCGTTTTTCCACTTTTGGGGTTTTTCGATTTTTCTATTTATTTCAGTTTTTATGGTTCTGCAATTTGCAGCTTTTAGATTTCAATTTTGTTACTTTCCGATTTTCCACTTTTCGATTTTTTGATTTTTTTTCGATCGTCGTTTTTTCGATTTTCATTTTTTCGATTTTTTGATTTTTCAATTTTTAGGCCTTGCAATTTTTTTACTTTTCGCTTTTTCGAGTATTTGTTTCATCGAATTTTCGATTTTTCGAGTTTTCGATTTTCGATTTTTCGGTTTTTCCATTTTCCGATTTTCGATTTTTCGATTTTCCATGTTTAGAGATTTTTCGATTTTTTTTTTTATTTTTTGATTGTTCTGTTCGTCAGTTTTGAGACTTTGCAATTTTTACTTTTCCACTTTTCTATTATTTTAGTTTCGGATTATTCGATTTTTGAATTTTCGTTTTTTTTTCATTTTTCGATTTCCGATTTTTTAATTTTTCGATTTTTCGGTTTTTTAATTTGTAGATTGTCGATATTCCGATTTTCGATTTTTTGATTTTCCAATCTTCGATTTTTCAATCTCCAGTTTTCGATTTTCCACTTTTTGATTTTCCGATTTTTCGATTTTTCTGTTCGTCAGTTTTTAGGCTTTGCATTTTGTTTACTTTTCGATTTTTCGATTATTTTACTTTCTAGTTTTTTTATTTTTGAATTGTCGACTTTTAGAGTTTTCAATATTATGAATTTTCGAATTTTCGGTTTTCCTATTTTTCGATTTTTGATTTTTTCATTTTTCGGTTTTTTGATTTTTCAATTCTCGGTTTTTCAATCTTGCAAATTTTTGATTTTTCAGATTTGTGAATTTCCAGTTTTTCGATCGACCTACGTATTAGATTCATTGAATTTCCATTTTTAGATTTTTGATTTTCCAGTTTCGCATTTTCAGATTTTCTGTTTTTCGCATATCTGATTTATCAAATTTTCGATTTTTCGGCTTTTCGATTTTTCCATATTTGATTTTCGAACTTTCGATTGTTCAGTTTTCCATTTTTCAGCTTTTAGACTTCAATTTTTTTACTTTTCGATTTTCCAAATTTTCGAGTTTCAATTTTCAGAATTTTGATTTTTCGATTTTCTTTTTAAATCTTTGAATTTTTCGGTTTTGATTTTTCGAATTTTTGATTTTTAATTTTTCCTTTCTTCGGTTTTTAGACTTCAATTTACATTCTTTTAAATTTTTTGATATTCTATTTTCCGCTTTTCAGAATTTTCGATTTTCAGTTTTCAGACTTTCGATGATTAGAATTTTGGATTTTTCAGTTTTATGATTTTCCGATTTTTAGAAAATTTGAGTAGTCGAATTTTCGATTTTTCAATTCATCGATTTTTCTATGTTCAATTTTTCGATTTAAATTTTGCAATTTTCAATTTGTCCAATGTCGATTTTTAGAATTTTCGGTTTTTCAATTTTTCCATTCTCAACTGTTAGACTTCAATTTTGTTACTTTCCGAATTTTTTTTTTTCGATTTTTGAATTTTCAGAATTTTCAAGTTTCTTTATTCAGATTTTCCATTTTCCACTTTTTCGATTTTAGATTTTTCGAATTTTTGTTTTTCCAATTTTTTGCTTTTTCGATTTTTCTGTTCGTTTTAGTTTCTAGGCTTTGCAATTTTTTTTACTTTATATATTTTGATTATTTTAATTTCCGATTTTTTTATTTTTGTTTTTGATTTTTTTAATTTTCAATATAACAAATTTTTGTCTTTTCGATTTTTTGGTTTTCCCGTTTTTCAATTTTCGATTTTTAGATTTTTGAGGTTTGTGAACTTCCACTTTTCGATCGACCTAGGTATTTGATTCATTGAATTTTCGATTTTTTGATTAGCCATTTTTAGATTTTCGATTTTTACGATTTGTATTTTTCGATTTTCTGTTTTTTGGATTAGTGAATTTCAGTTTTTCCGATTTTTGATTTTGCGCCATATTTGATTAATCAAATTTTCGAAAAAGTTACCATGCTTAGAAAAACTTCAAAACATCTACAATATTTCAAAGTATTCAGTTTTGCTATTCTTGATTTCTTCAATAAAATAAATTGACTCAGTCATTAACTTTTTTGAGACACCCTCTATAACCAAATCTAAAAAATATTAATGCAGTGATAAATCACAAGTATAAAACTCATCATATTTTATACATTTAAGATAGGATTTATTCTGCAAAATTTTGAGGTGACGTCATAAATTTTTTAGAGGGGATAAGCAAATATATTTTAATTAAAAATATATCATGTTTATCATGATTTTAAAACATCTGCAAGATTTCAAAGTATTCGATTTTGCCAATTCAAAATTAAATTGCAAAATATTGTTTTATAATTTTGATTTTTTTTCCAAAAATCTAGACGTTTCGGATAAAAACTCAACACGGAATCATAAACTACATGTGTAGGACTATGTTACTGTATACAATTTAAAACCCATTTACTATGCATAAATTTGAAGTGACGTCATCACATTATTGGTGGGGATGATTATACAAATTTAATAATTCTGCGACATTTATGAAAAAAATATCAGTTAACAAAAATGGCACGTTTTTATTATTATGCCAGTTACATGTCACTCAACGACAATATCGGTTTTTTTTAAGAGTATTTTATTTGAAAAAGTGATGAAATTTTTTATACGGAACAATTGGTCGAAAGATGTTAGAAAGCAAAATAATTCATGTCCAGACCATCGTTACTCATGAACGAAAGTGATCATTATTTTATGGGAACAACTACCTGCTAAATCTTCTCCGACAAATTCGAGAGAACTGGTGTGAGCCATAAATATTTCTTACCAAATTTAAATTTCGTTGTAGTTTGAGCCTACCTACAAATTCTGCCCTTGAAGGATTTGGACCGCCTTCTTCGGTGAGGGCAGGCAAAAATGATCCGCCCATAGGCTCAAAACATTTGCGTGCGATTGTACAAATAAAACTTCGAAAATTAAATAACAGCCACTTTTATTTATTTATGCAACCAACTATTGTCTTTCCTCTAAAACAACCCGATATCCTTTCTTGGCTTTCCCGATTATGTAAAACTCGAGATCCAGGTCTTCCACAGTCTTGTAATCCACACACTTCACAACCCGAAAGCGCCTCAAAGCGGTGGCTAAGAAAATTTTCAAAGACAACATGGCGTATTTTGAACCTACAACAAAATGGTTCAGTGGTTACAATTAATAATTAATTAATTAGTAGTTACCAGGGCAATTTCTGGGCCCGACACTAAAAGGGATGAAGGCGCAGCGATGGCGTTTTTCGATTTCTTGAGGGAGGAATCTGTCAGGGTCGAACTTTAGAGGGTCCGGCCACAAATCAGGTCTTCTGTGAAGGTGTGGCAAGGGGATCAAAATTTCACAACCAGCGGGAATGAAGTACGAGTCTAATTTTTAAAGAATTGTAGGTATAGACTGGAGAAATAAAATTTTGAAAGGGTGTATACCTAGTTTAATTTCTTTGTCCACTTTTCTTAATAGGAAAGGCACTGAAGGAAAAATGCGAAGCGTCTCTTTGATAACCCGTTCCAAGTAGTCCATTTGGTTGATCTCGTCTATAGTAACAGTGGTGAATTTTGACACTTCATGGTACACTTTTTCCTGGATGTGGGGGTGCAACCCTAACATAACCAAAACCGTGCTTATGGTAACTGAAGACGTTTCACTAGCGGCGTGAAACATGAAAGCGCTCTCATCTAAAACCCCCTCCCGCTTTATTTTACCATCGCTGTTTAAATCGAGCAAATAATTTAAGAATCTCCTGTCTTTTAAAAACGTGTCGTCATTTCTAAACCTCGTCTTTTTGGTATCAATAACCTAAAACACAAAAATCGGTTTTGGTTCGTTTCCAAAAGACACTAACTTGTTGAACAAAGTCTTCAAAAATTTGTCCCGTTTCGAGCTGTTCCTTCCTCAAAGACGACTCTTTCCAGAAGAAGTCGAGGTTCAAGTGGGGTCTGAAGAAACGTCGGCGCAGGATTTCTTCAAACCTTGAAACCAGGAGTTTGGGGAAGAGTTTTGATTGTGAGTAGGATTTATTTACCTGAAGGCTGCTGCTATGTATTTGTCTGTCGTTTCTAACAAATCTGGACACACGTCTCCTAGTGCTTCTGTAAAAAAAATACAGTTTTGGGTTTGGTGTGAAAGTGAAGTTTACCGCAGGACGCCTGGAGGGCGTGCTTCCAGATTTTGGGGAAAAGATCCTGAGGGATGTTTTTTTCGCCGCACATGTTCGTCAAGGTCGTGTCTGCCAGACGAGTTGCGTGTTTCACAAAAATGGGGACGAAGCTGGTGATCGTGGCACTGTTGAAGGTGTGGTTGATTGCCCGTCGGCGCTCTTTCCAGATACTGACTGAAACCGATAGGTTTTTCAGATTAGAATTTCAGGAAAATTATATAACCGTTTTATACGTAAACAACAAATAAGTGCTTTCATTTGTGTGGTCTCAACATTGATTTTTGAAGTTTTTACGATTCTTAGCTTTTCGATTTTTGGATTTCTCAGTTTTTCGATTTTTATTTGGAGTTCTTGCTTTTTTTAATTTTTTGTTGTCGGTTTTTCAGCTTCCCGATTTTTATTTCGTCAGTTTTTTCAGCTTTCAATGTTATAATTTTTAGATTTAACAGTTTTCTGTTTTAAGATATTTTTATTTTTTGATTTTTCAATTGTTGATTTTTTCGTTATCCGATTTTTTAATTTCGCTATTTTTTCAACATTTCGGTAATTCAATTTTTTTTATTGCTCAATGATTGGTTTTTTTCCAATTGTACACTTTTTCGATGTTTATTTTGACATTTTTGGATTTTTCAATTTAAATTTTTTGTATTTTTCGACTTTTTTGTGTCTAGATATTTTAATTTCTCGATTCTTCAACTTTTCAATTTTACAATTTGTTGATTTTTCTGTTTCTATTTAGAATTTTTCGTTTTTTCGATTTTTCAATTTCTCCATTTTTAATTTATCACTTTTTCACGTTTCAATGTTACATATTTTCGATTTTACGTTTTTATTTTTTCTTTTCAAATTTACAATTTTGTAATTGTTCATTTTTAAATTTCCCGATTTTTAATTTTTCACTTCTTCCAAATAATTATGTTTTTTTTTCAAGTGTACAATTCTTGGCTTTTCAATTATCCGATTTTTCAGTTTCTGTATGTTTTCAGATCTTCGATTTCTCGGTTTTTAAATTTTTCAATTTTTCCATGTTTCTTTTTTACAATTTCTTAATTTTTTAGTTTTTCGGTTTTTATTTTAAAATTTTTGGATTTTGAAATTAATTGTTTTGTATTTTTGATTATTTAATTTACAGAAATTTTTGTTTTTTCAATTTTTCGCTTTCTCGATTTTTAATTAACCAGGTTTTTCAGACTTCAATATTACAATTTTTCGATTTTTCAGTTGTCTTTTCAATTATCCCGTTGTTCAATTTCCCAATTTTTTCATTTTTTGATTTTTCGATAGATCAAGTTTCATTTCTCAGTTTTTAAGTCTCATTTTTTCGGCTTTTTTCAAGTTTTCTTTATTTTTCAATTCTTCGATTTGTCATTTTTTTCATTTTTCAATTCAATTCAAAATTTCGGTTTGAATAAATTTGTCCTTTCGTTGAACAATTAAAAAATGACAAACCGAGAAAATGAAGAACTAGAAATCGAGAATTTGAAAAATTTTATGTCGAAAAATTGCAGAATTGTTTCTTTTTGCAGATTTTTCAATTTCTCGATTTTTAATTGTTTTGTTTTTTGATGTTTCAGTATTACAATTTTCCGGTTTTTCTAAAGTTCAATTTGAATAAATTTGTCCTTTTGTTGAACAATTAAAAAATAAAAAATCGAGAATTTGAAAAATTTTATATCGAAAAATTGCAGAATTGCTTCGTTTGGTCAACTAGGGTAATTTTTTAAAAATATATTTGCAATCATAACTTCCAAAATTTGTTTTCAGTTCAAAAAAATACAATTTTAAAATCACCATAAAAAATAGAATTTTCAGAAAAAAACATTTTTTCTGTTTTCTCTCACTTTTCCTATATTAGTCTGTAATTTTAAAATAAATGCGTAAATTAATCTTTTGACTTTGTTTTAATTCTTAGATTCTACCGCTTGTCAAAATGGAATTCAATTCCCATTTTACAATCAATAAAATAGGTCAGGGGAATGGAGAAAAGAGGTGGGCAGGGCTGACTTTAGTTTTTTGTTGTGTTATTTGCCAAAATCAGTCTTATCTAGGCAGGTACTAGCCCCACCCACCCGCCCCATTCTGATTTTAACGATTTTATTTCTGTTCATTAGTATAAAATCCATTTTTCATCCAGATACAATGAATCACTATAATTAAGGGGGGGGGGGGGTAAGTGGGCGGAGTTAATTATATGTTCTTCTGTAAAGTGATAAGAAACTAATAGAACCTGGGCTGTTAAAAAGAGAAGACCGAACGATATTTTTTTTTTGTTATACTATCTGCTATAAAAATGCATTTCTTAATTCAAAAGAGAAAAAGAACGGGTGGGTGGGTGGGGCTAAGTTTAACTTATTTTTACAGAGGCTTTTACAAGCAAGACGTAGCCCCGCCCAGCTACCCCCTCTTCATTCTAGTGACTATTCCTAATACTGTTAATTATTATTTTCAAATCCAAAGATCGTAAATCTAATTATTGATTTTTCCCTACGAAAATTTTCGTTTTCAAGAACATTTAATACTTTGACTATCAAAATTTTGAAATCTCAATTTAGTTAATTTTTTTTTAATTGGTTTTTCTGGGACATCTAAAGACAGGAGTTTATAACATTGCACAACAAGAAAGTATTAGTGTAAATTTAATGCTAAGAAAAACCCACAAAAACCCATCGAAAAAACCATTACAATGTTCTAGGAAGACCAATGAGTGGGTAAACACGTATCCAACCAAAAGTGCAATGAACTATGTACAATCACCGTTAGTGACTTACCTGGAGACGACGGCAACGCTGTTCTTATGGTGTCGGTTAAATATTTGCCATAAAACATGCTTTTGTCTAAATAGCGGCTCAATAAAATGTCCATATCTTCTGGTCTGGTGATGACCACGAATAAAAACGGGCCGAACCATGCTCTAGTGACAGGGGCGTATTGTGCGACACGTACTAACACGTTGTATCCGTCTAAAAATTAATAAAAATAAATAAATAAATGAATGTGGGATTAAAAAATTACCGGCTGGTCCTCCTCTCATCATGTGTGCGGACCCTAGCAAAGGGAGTCCGAAGGGTCCAGGGAGCTTCAGGGAGCAATAATAAAGGCGACGGCGCTTCCACGTAAAAAGAATAAAGTAACATAGGGCCAGAGTGACCACCATAAAGAGCAAAGTGCGGGTAATGGACAACCTTGGAGGAACTTGATACATGTTGTAGAGTGAATTTGTTACAAAGAAATATTGCTATTTATATAAAATTCTTTCATGTATTATTTATAGTAACCACAAAAAATATCTGCGTCAAGAGTTTCAAATTTAATGCTTAGAGTCAAAGAATTTTGTTTTTCTTGAACAACTGAATATTATTTTGTCACTTATTAGGTACTTTAGATGGAAGAATTAGATAAACCAACACACAACAAATAAATAACAAAATGTTAGACGATTTCAAAGGATGGTCGACGACTGAAGACCAAAAAGGACGAGCCGGAAAAATATAAAAAAAAAAGACGGGTGGGGTTGTGAACCGGCTCCAATCACCAACAGCGCAGAGAAGAAGTAGACGGGAATTTCCGCAGACTTAATTCGTAAAGAAACACAAACCTCTTCAACTAATTGCACAAAGAAAAAAATATTTTTATTTATGATATTAATAACAGAAATTAATAAATTTATTGTATTTATATTTTTATTATTGCAAACTTGAAACATTGTAAAGTAGGCAACCCAAAATACACATCCGGCGTACATAACCTCAAAAATGCCCCAAAATGAATAAATCCAAGAAAACCAAGCACCTCTTCGACAAAAAAATCGACTTCGAGAAAACCGAAGCCTTGGAATTACCACAAGAAGCCTACGGGTGCAGCAAGTGGTCACTACCCTCCTTCCAAGCGGAGAAAGAAAACCTCAACAAAACCAAAAGTTTGCTCAACCAGTTTGATCTGGAGGAGTGGTCCCGGCACACCAAACACCGGGACCCCTCGAGCTACATCATTCGCTTCGTCAAACAAAAATTCCAGCCGGAGCTTGTAACCCAAGTATGAATAATCAAACTATTAGCTATTGTTTTTTAATTTATGTTCTTGTTATAAGGCGTGGTGTAAGTTCTACGAGTGTCTCTGCAGCTACCCCATCATCCCCAAAGACGCCATCAGCAGCGGCCGCTTCTCCAGCGTGCACCTATGTGAGGCCCCAGGGGCCTTCGTGAGCGCTTTGAACCACTTCATGGCAAGCCACGACTTGGGGCTGCAGGTGAGTTGGTTGTCGTTCTTGTGGTTAAGGGATCATAACGGGAAGAGGTTCCAGTGGGAGTGGTACGCGAATTCGCTGAATCCGGACTATGAAGGCAACTCGCTCCAGGAGATGATTCCAGACGACCGGCTGGTGAGGCACACCTATCAGAATTGGTACTTTGGGACCGACTGGACTGGGAATATCACCAAGTACCACAACCATGTGGGTTTGTTGGAAAAAGTTCGCGAAAAAGTGTGTAATCAAATTTGTAAAAGTACAAAATAGCAGAGATGCAAACCTTTTCAGGTGTGGTTAGTTACGGCAGATGGCAGCATTGATTGTAGTTTGGACCCCGGGAATCAAGAGGCGTGTGTCGAGTTTCTCCACTACTGTGAAACGATGACGGCTTTATCGATACTCAGAAACGGTTGTTGTAGCAATTCAACTACAATCAAATATTTTATTTTATTTTTTCTAGGTGGGACGTACGTTTTGAAAATTTTTACCGCGTTTGAGGACTCCACCATCTGTCTTTTGTTTTTGTTGAACGTGGTTTTTCACAAAGTTTCCGTTTTTAAGCCAGCGTCGTCCAAAAGTGGCAACTCTGAAGTGTATGTAGTTTGTCAGGAGTATAAAGGGGGTGCGGTTTTGGAACCGCTTTGGGACAAATTGATGTCGCCTTACAAACTCGGGCACTTTGACGATAAGTCGATGTTCGACTTGAACGAAATCGACAAAGAATTTCTAAATCAGCTCTTACGAGTCACTACATATTTTAAAAAGAAACAGATAGAGAGAATCAGCGATAATATAAGTAATTTTAAAAACGAATCAAAAACAGAAGCCGGGAAAGTCCACCAGATCAAAGTGTACGTCGCGAATAGATACATACACAAGTACGGACTCAAAAGCATTCCACTACAGTACAAACTGGTGAAAAATGTAGACGTATCTCAGTTTTTACCAATTGATTTCAAAAAACTGGATTTCGTCGACCGGGTGTGTAAGATTGAGGTTAGAAATTTGGTTGCGGTAAGCGTAACGGGCGATATTTTAGACATAAAAATAGGAGAGAGGATAAATGAAGTGAAAAGTTCACGTTTTTGCAAAAAAGAACTCTTACTTAAGTTTACACTAAGCAACAAAAGCAAAAATGATTCTTTTTTGTACCAATGTGTCCATAAAATTTTATCTCATAGTACGACTGTAATCAATTTTGATCACTGTAATTTTAGCACGTATAGCGAATTCCAAAGATATATTTTTTATAGGATTTTAAACTCTAGTGGTTGCAATTTTGTCTTCGTCAAAATTCCTTTTGTTACGAATTTTTTGGCAGGGTTGATGTTCGTTTTAATATCTTCGTACGACAAAGTGTACGTGCATAGAAGCGGTTTTATGGTTGTGGCGGACTACACAGGACGTAGTTTTGAAAGAGCTAAACAACTTTTGGAAATTGTGGAACGAAAGTATGCTTCGTGCGAGTTTCCTTGTGATATTTTTCAGATCTTGTCACCTAGTTTGTTATACAACACTTATTTTGAATTTCTGTGGAATTATAACAATCTTGTGTTATCGAAAATCTAGATATTTTTGCACTTTTGTGGTAAATAAAGCTCCAAATATTTTCTAATCCAATTTATTCATTAAAATAAAGACAAAGCTCCTCGAAATCGCACTGAATATAATAAATGGAATCGGTAAAAACAAAGACACCATACGAATGGCTTCATGTTTACGCTACCTGTCATTACACGTTATAAATAATTTAAATATTGACGTTAAAATCTATACAACCTATTCCTACAGATCTACGCCTATGGTCAGTTAAGTCATAACAATTACAACACTATAAAAGAAGAAATTTCCAGTGGCAGCTTGATAAATGCCTAAGTCATGTGAATGAACAATCGCACCCTGGGCCGGGCCGTGCACAGATCGGAGTGTTTTCGCAAATGCTCTTTTCCAAATAGATTCTTTTTCGTAAACACAACACAAGGTGTCGAGTGAAAACAAGTCTAGCGGGAACAGAACCTTTCACTCTACACAAATTTGCAGTAGTACCGCGCTCGGTACCTACTGTGATCTGTACAGGCCGACCGTCACCGTCGCAACCACGAACAAGTGCCACTTCCCATAGCACCCGCAACAGGCTTCGGACAGAAGGAACTACACACAATTAGGGAGAGCTACAACAGAGAAAGACGGTTAGGGGGGAAGGAGGTTAGGTTAGAGGCCGTCAGTCGAGGCGCAGAACCTTCGGCTTTTCCCAGCTGAAGCCGTCGCGGCCGAAGTGCCCGTACGTGCTCGTCTTCTGGTAAATGGGCTGGCGGAGGTTCAGCTCCCTATAAAAAAAAAATAATTAAACTCAATCCTACCCACATTCTACCAAACTATAGCTTAAATATGAGCCTCAGTGTGGTTTCTACATCATGATGCATCAATAGTAGCAAATACAAAGACATCACAGGCAAGCTGTCAAATTTTGAGGTTATGTCATCGGGGGGCTAGTTGGACGAAATTCACGACGCAATCGCCCATTTTGTTTTAAATAACACCCCCCGGGGGGTGTTTACGCCACAATGCAACAATAAAAGCATACATAAAGACATTACCAACTTTTTTTATTTTTATTTTGAGGTTATGTCGGCACGTCAGTCGGTGCCACAATCGGAACGAGGCGTTCATACAATCAAGTCAAGTGTTCATTCCAATATCATACATCTAGGGAAAACCATTCTCCAGTTGTCGATTTGACGATTTTTCAATTATTCCATTTTTTGCTTTGTTAGTTCTCCGATTTTACAATTTTTTGAGTTTTATACTTTTAGTTTTTTAATTTTTCAATTTCGTGTTTTTTTATTTTTCAGCAAAAGAACAAATTTATCTAAACTAAAATATTGGAAAATCGGAAAATTGTATCATTGAAACAATGAAGAATACAAAAATTTCAAAATGAAAAAAATTAAAAATCCCGAAATTGAAACATCAAAAAATCGAAATCAATTTTCATAGGGAAAATCAATGATTAGATTTACCATCTTTGGATTTGAAAATAATAATTAACAGTATTCGAAAAAGTCGCTAGAATGAAGAGGGGGTGGGTAGGCGGGGCTACGTCTTTCTTATAAGAGCCTCTGTACGAACAAGTTAAACTTAGCCCCGCCCGCCCACCCGTTCTCTTTTTTCTTTTGAACTAAGAAATGCATTTTTATAGCAAATTGTATTACACAAAAAAAAATACGATTAGCGCCCTTTTTTCTCTTTTTAGCAGCCCAGGTTCTATTAGTTTCTTGTCACTTTAAAGACGACCATATAATTAACTCCGCCCACTTACCCCCCCTTCATTTTAGTGATTGATTGTATTTGAATGAAAACTGGATTTTATACTGATGAACAGAAATAAAATCGTTACAATGAGAATAGGGCGGGTGGGCGAGGCTATTACCTGCCCAGATAAGACTGATTTTTGCAAATGACATATCCTTTGAGAAAATAGGGGGCGGGTCGGTGGGGCTATCACTTGCCAAGATAAAACTGAACAATATTTACAATAGTCATTGGAATGAAGAGGTAGGCGGGGCTCCTGTTTGCTTATAAAAGACTATAAGGATAAGATAAACTTAGCCCCGCCCACCCACTCGTTCTTTTTCTCTTCTGAATTAAGAAATGCATTTTTATAGCAAATAGTATCACACAAAAAAAAAACGATTATCGTTCTTTCTTCTCTTTTTAACAGCCCAGGTTTTATTAGTTTCTTGCCACTTTAAAGACCATATAATTACCTCCGCCCACTTATCCCCCCCCCCCCCCACTCTTCATTTTAGTGATTGATTATATCTGAATGAAAAATGGATTTTATACTAATGAACAGAAATAAAATCGTTAAAAAGAGAATAGGGCGGGTGGGCGGGGCTAGTACCTGCCCAGATAAGACTGATTTTGGCAGATAACACCTTCTAAAAAAATAGAGGGCGGGTGGGCGAGGCTATCACTTGCCAAGAAAAGACTGAACAATATTTACAATAGTCATTGGAATGAAGAGGTGGTGGGTGGGCGGGGCTCCTGTTTGCTTATAAAAGATTCTATAAGAATAAATTAAACTTAGCCCCGCCCACCCACCCGTTCTTTTTCTCTTCTGAATTAAGAAATGCATTTTTATAGCAAATAGTATCACAAAAAAAAAACGATTATCGTTCTTTCTTCTCTTTTTTACCGTCCAGGTTTTATTAGTTTCTTGCCACTTTAAAGACCATATAATTAACTCCGCCCACTTACCCCCCCTTCATTTTAGTGATTGATTGTATCTGAATGAAAAATGGATTTTATACTGATGAACAGACATAAAATCGTTAAAAAGAGAATAGGGCGGGTGGGCGGGGCTAGTACCTGCCCAGATAAGACTGATTTTGGCCAATAACGAAAGACTGAACAATATTTACAATAGTCATTGGAATGAAGAAGCGGTGGGTGGGCGGGGCTCCTGTTTGCTTATAAAAGACTATAAGAATAAGTTAAATTTAGCCCCCCCCCACCCATCCGTTCTCTTTCTCTTCTGAATTAAGAAATGCATTTTTATAGAAAATAGTGTCACAAAAAAAAAAAAAAATTATCGTTCTTCTCTTTTTAACAGCCCAAGTTTTATTAGTTTCTTGTAACTTTACAGAAGAACATATAATTAAATCTGCCCACTTACCCCGCCTTCATTTTAGTAATTCATTGAATGAAAAGTAGATTTTGTATTGAAAAAACTCAAGATGGCGTAATTAAGAGGTCACCAATTGGAAAAAGAAAAATTGTAACCTTAAAAATGAAAATTTGAAAATAGAAAAATCGAACAATTGCAAAATTGAAAATCAAAAATAGAAAAAACGAAACTTGGAACATCGAGAAATTAAAAAATTGTAATCTTAAAACTTGAGAAACTGAAAACTTCGATAATTGAAAAAACCACTGAAAATTTGGAAAAAATCGAAAAACTGATTCATTAAAAATCCAAAAAAATTTTTTTTTCTAGAAATAGGAAAATCGACAAATTGTAAAATGCAAAAGTTGAAGAGTCTAAAAATTAAAATATCTAGACACTAAAAAATCGAAAAATACAAAAAACGTAAACTGAAAAATCCAAAAATGTCAAAATGACAATCGGAAAACTAAAAAATCGAGACACCGAAAAATTGAAAACTTGTAAAAACATGGAAAAATTAAAAATAAAACTGCAAAATCGGATATTTGAAAAATAAACAACTTTGCAATTTTTCAATTTTAAAGTTTTCAAGTTCTTGATTTTCAATTATAACCAAAATGATATTTTGCAAAATCGAATAACTGTAACACTGAAACATTAAAAAATGCAACAATTAAAAATCGAGAAATTGAAAAATCGACAAAACGAAACAATTCTGCAATTTCGATATACAATTTTTCAAATTCTCGATTTTTCATTTTTTAATTGTCCAAGAAAAGGACAAATTTAGTCAAACCGAAATTTTGAAAAATTTAAAAATCAGAAAATTGTAACATTGAAGCGTCTAAAAATGATAAAATTGAAAAATCAAAAATGTTAAAAATTGAGAAGTCAAAGAATTGAAGAAATAAAGAAAATTTGAAAAAACCGAAAAAATGAGAATCAAAAATTGAAAAATGGAACGTGAAATATCGAAAAATTTTAAAATTGAAAAATGAAAGAATCGAGAAATTAAACAAGTGCGTAATTGAAAAAACAATTGAACAATTGAAAAATTGTAATATAAAAACTTTAAAACCCTGATAATTAAAAATCGAGAAATTGAAAAAACGAAAAACAAAAATTTTTATAAATTAAATAATCAAAAATTCAAAAAATTTTAATTTCAAAGATTGTAAAATAAAACTTGAAATATCGAAACATTGAAAAATGAAAGAATTGAGAAATCGAAAAATTGTAATATTGAAACTTGAAAAAACTGACAGCTAAGAATCTTAAAAACTTGAAAATGAAAGGAATAAAATTCGACTTTGGGCCAGTTTGAATTTAGCGCCGATGCACTTAGTTGTGATTGGTCGGCATGGCTGCGGCAATTACTGTTTGCAAAGGATTTCCCTTTGCGCATACTTTTGACGGTGAACGACGTTACTCAAACCCAGCGCCGCCTAGCGGAATGACCAATAATGTCTCTTTTTGAGGTTAGTGCAACCGATTTCAACAAATTCAACATTGAAAAATTACAAACTGAATCGCGACACTCACTTGACGATTTTTCCCGGTCGTAGGTCGAAGTTATTCTTGACGACGGCGAGCAACTGCTTCTGCGAGAGCTTGGAAGTTCCGTAATCGAAAACAGTGATTGACAAAGGTTCAGCAACTCCAATGGCGTAGGCGACTTGTACCAGGCACCTTCGGCAAAGGCCGGCCTTGACGAGGGATTTGGCGACCCAGCGAGCCGCGTACGCCGCAGATCTGTCGACTTTTGTGAAATCTTTTCCAGAGAAGGCCCCACCTCCGTGGGCACCCCAGCCTCCGTAGGTGTCCACGATGATCTTGCGGCCGGTCAAGCCGGCGTCGCTCTGAAAAATGGACGCTTTTAATTATCCCTGCAAGATGTTGAACACGAAAAGGCAGATTGACCTGCCGAATCAGCCGTTGTTTGACATCATGGCAATCAAGAGTAGCAAATACTTTTAAAACATCATGGGTACGATTCTGTCATTAAAAAACGAAAAGGTATTGTGAGACGCACCTGGGGTCCACCGATGATGAACAGTCCGCACGGGTTGATGTGGACGATGGTTTGGTTGTCCAAGTACTGTTCTGGAATGACTGCGTTGATGACTTTGTTGAGGATTTCCTCTCGGAGTTCGCTCAACGAGATCTTGTCACTGTGTTGTACCGAAACTACAACTGTGTGGACTCGTTGGGGGATGCAAGCTCCGTGGTCGAAGGAATATTCGCAAGTAACCTAAAAATTCCAACGTACAGACTGAAACAAAAGCGCGGATTTTTTCGTACTTGTGTTTTGGAATCTGGTCTGGCCCACCAGAACTGGCCGTTCCTCCTCAGTTCGGCGATTCTGTGGTTAAGTCTGTGTGCTAAAACTACCGTCAAGGGCATACACTCTTCCGTTTCGTCTGTGGCATAGCCGAACATCAAACCCTGTTGTAAAGAGAGGTTAGAAACGAGCTTTGAACGATGGAAAAATGTACGATGAGCATTGCCCTTGTCTAAGATGGTACTTTAGATAGGAACGCCTTTGCCACCGGTTGATTTTGCACACTTATGGAACATTCCGGCGAATTGAAATCACGGGAATGTGGACATTAATATGTGCAAAATGGACCCATGAAGAAGCTCTGCTACTGCGACCCTCGCGGCACACTTTTACACTCATTGTTATCACACGTTATCTTCAAATTATTGGGAAAAAAAGGTTATTTTGACAGAACTTCCCTCGCCCTTGAAGTAGAGCTTTGAAAATTTTTTTTGCGATCTTTTTTTATAACCTCTATAATGTTAAAACTACTACAAGCAGCTTTTTTCAATTTTGCATTTTTTTGATTGGCAATTTTTTTAGTTTTCTTTTTAAACATGTAATAAAAAACAATAATCAGTTTAACGGATTTTACAATTTTACCGTTTTTCCATTATTAACTATTAATTTTTTTCTTTTATTCGACTTTTCAACTTTCAAAATTTTAGATTTTTTTTGTTTCTTCAATTTTTCGAGTTTTGAAATTTTAAAGTTTCGTTAGTTTTTATTTTCTTAATTTTTTTTTCAATTACACGATTTTCCAAAGTTTCGATTTTATAATTTTCTTTTTTTCTTTTTTCATTTAAAAATTTCAATTTTCCGTTAGTTCTTTTCGATTTGCAACTCTTCGAGTTTTGATTTTTAACTTTTTCAATTTTACAGCTTTAATGTTTCAATTTTTAGATTCCACAATTTTTGGATCTGCATTTTTATTTTTTTTTTACCTGAAATTAATCAAATTTTGAATTTTTCAATTTTTGCTTGCAATTTTTCTGGTTTGCATTTTATATATTTAAAAATAATCTTCAAAATTTTTCACTTTTCCATTGTACGATTTTTTAATTTTTACATTTTTAATTTTTCAAGCTCTTCACCATTTCAATTTTATCAAATTTTTTTCGATTTGCAATTTTCTTATTTTCTTTTTAACTATGTAATAATGATGATTAAAGAAATTTTTTTACGATTTTAAAATTTTTCCATTATTTTTTTTCCATTTATTCGACTTTTCAATTTTTCGTTTTTAATTTTTAAAATTTTCGATTCTTCGATCGTTCATTCTTTAAATTTTCGATTTGCAATTTTTTTCTTTCGGTTATTTTCTTAATTTTTCAATGTTCCGATTTTATAATTCTTTGTTCCTTCAATTATTCGATTTGCAAATTTCGAGTTTTGAAGTTTTAAATTTTTCAAATTTTCAATTTTTCATCGAGTTTCCAAAATTAATTTTTCGATTAGCTTATTTTAATTTTTTTTCGATTACACGATTTTTCGAAGTTTCGAGTTCATAATTTTTTGTTTTTTCTATTTTTTGTTTCTTCAACTTTTCGATTTGCGATTTTTTAATTTTTCGATTCTTTAATTTCTAGTTTCCTCAAATTTTTTATTTGCAATTTTTAATTTCGGTTTTTGTTTTCTTTATTTTTACAATTTTTCGGTTTTGCAATGTGCAGATTTTATAATTTTTCTTTTTTCATCTAAAAATTTTCGCTTTTCGGATTTTCCAATTTTTCGTTACTTCTTTGATTTGCAACTGTTCGAGTTTTCATTTTTAAATTTTTCAATTTTCCAAATTTTGGATGTTTCAATTTTTGGATCTGCATTATTTTCTTTATTTTTCAGTGTTTCAACTTTCTGATTTTATGATTTTTCTTTTTTTTTCTACGTCAGATTATTCAAATTTTGAATTATTCAATTTTCCTAGTTTTCATTTTTAATATTTAATAATAATCTTAAAAATTTTGCAGTTTTCCACTGTACGATTTTTGAATTTTTAATTTTTCAAACTTTCGATTCTTCAGTTTTTTACTTCTCCGATTCGATTTGCAATTTTTCATTTCGGTTTTTCATCTTCGTAATTTTCACAATTTTTTAAATTTTCAGTTCCGATTTTACAATTTTTGGTCTTAACAATTTCAATTTTTCGATTTGCAATTTTTGTTGTTTTCTTTTTACTCTTAAAAATGTAATGATACTAAACAAAAAATCAATTTTACGATTTTAGAGTTTTTCCATTATTAATAATATTAAAACTTTTTCAGTTATTCGACTTTTCAATTTTTTAAATTTTCGATTTTGTCTGTTTCTTCAATTTTTCGAGTTTTGAAGTCTTAAAGTTTCGTTAGTTTTTATTTTGTTCATTTTTTTTTCAATTACACGGTTTTTCAGTTTCGATTTTATAATTTTGTTTTTTTCCATTTTCGATTCTTGAATTTTTTAATTTCCTCAAATTTTTGACTTGCAATTTTTCGGTTTTGCAATGTGCATAATTTTTCTTTTTTCATTTAAATATTTTCACTATTCGGATTTTTCAATTTTCCGTTACTTCTTTTCGATTTGCAACTCTTCGAGTTTTCATTTTTAACTTTTTCAATTTTACAGCTTTTATATGTTTCAATTTTTAGATTCTGCAATTTTTGGATCTGCATTTTTTTTTATTATTTTTCAATTTTATTCGGTTTTTCAATGTGCTGATTTTATATAATTTTTCTTTTTTTTCTACCCGAAATTACTCAAATTTTGAATTTTTCAATTTTTGCTTACGATTTTTCTGGTTTGCAATTTATATATTTAAAAATAATCTTCAAAATTTTTCACTTTTCGATTTTTGTACGATTTTTGATTTTTTACATTTTTAATTTTTCATGTTCTTAACAATTTCAATTTTATCAATTTTTTTTCGATTTGCAATTTTTCAAATTTTGGATGTCTCAATTTTAGATTTGCAATTTTCTTATTTTCTTTTCAACTATGTAATAATGATGATTAAAGAAATTTTTTACGATTTTAAAATTTTTCCATTATTAAATATTAATTTTTTTTCATTTATTCGATTTTCAATTTTTCGATTTTTAATTTTTAAAATTTTCGATTCTTCGATTGTTCATTCTTTAAATTTTCGATTTGCAATTTTTTTCTTTCGGTTATTTTCTTAATTTTTCAGATTTTCAATTTTTCAATGTTCCGATTTTATAATTCTTTGTTCCTTCAATTTTTCGAGTTTTGAAGTTTTAAATTTTTCAAATTTTCCATTTTTGATTGAGTTTGCAACCTGAATTTTTCGATTAGGTTTTTATTTTCTTAATTTTCAATTACGCGATTTTTCGAAGTTTCCAGTTTATAATAGTTTGTTTTTTTGATTTTTCGATTCTTTAATTTTTAATTTCCTCAAATTTTTTTTGCAATTTTTTGTTTTCTTTTTTTTACAATTTTTCGGTTTTGCAATGTGCAGATTTTATAATTTTCACTTTTCGGATTTTCCAATTTTTCTTTACTTCTTTTCGATTTGCAACTCTTCGAGTTTTCATTTTTAAATTTTTCAGTTTTCCAACTTTTGGATGTTTCAATTTTTGGATCTGCATTATTTTCTTTATTTTTCGGTTTTTCAAAGTTCTGATTTTGATTTTTCTTTTTTTCTACGTGAGGTAATTCAAATTTTGAACTATTCAATTTTTTTTAACAATTTTCCTAGTTTTCATTTTAAATATTTACTAATAATCTTAAAAAAAATCAGTTTTCCATTGTACGATTTTTGAATTTTTTATTTTTCAAATTTTCGATTCTTCAGTTTTTTACTTCTCCCAATTTTCGACTTGCAATTTTTCATTTCGGTTTTTCATCTTTTAAGTAATTTTTACAATTTTTTGAATTTTCAGTTCCGATTTTACAATTTTTTGTTTTTAACAATTTCAATTTTTCGATTTGCAATTTTTGTTGTTTTCTTTTTACTCGTAAAATGTAATGATAACTAAAAAAGAAATCAATTTTACGATTTTAGAATTTTTCCATTATTAAAACTATTAAAACTTTTTCATTTATTCGACTTTTTCAGTTTTTCGATTTTTAATTTTTAAAATTTTCGATTATTGATTCTTTAAATTTTCGATTTGCAATTTTTCCTTTCTGTTATTTTCTTAATTTTTCAAATTTTCAATGAGTTTCCAGAATTTTCAATTTTAATTTTTCGTTTAGGTTTTTATTTTCCTCATTTTTTTTTTCAATCACACGATCTTTCAAAGTTTCGATTTCATATTTTTTTGTTTTTTCTATTTTTCGAATTGCGATTTTTTAATTGTTCGATTCTTTGATTTTTTATTTTCTTTATTTTACAATTTTCGGTTTTGCAATGTGCAGATTTTATTTTTCTTTTTTCATTTAAAAATTTTCACTTTTCGGATTTTCCAATTTTGCGTTACTTCTTTTCGATCTGAAACTCTTCGAGTTTTCATTTTTAAATTTTTCAAATTTCCAACTTTTGGATGTTTCAATTTTTACATCTGTTTTTTTCTTATTTTTTTTTTTAATTTTTCGGTTTTTTAATGTTCTGATTTTGCTTTTTCATTTTTGTAATTTATACAATTTTTCGAATTTTCAATGTTCCGATTTTATAATCTTTTGTTTTTAACAATTTCAATTTTTTATTTCTTCTATTTTACTAGTTTTCATTTTTAAATTTATCGGTCTTTCATGTTGGTCTTTCACGAATTTTCAACTTTCCATTTGTTCAATTTTTCGGTTTTTGAATTTTTCCATTTCTCAATTATTGGATTTGAAAACTTTTTCAATTTTTTGAATTTTAATTTTTCTACTTCTCGATACTTAATTTTGCAATGTTTTGTTCTTTCGATGTTACAGTTTGTCGACTTCACAATTTTGGCGATTCTGGTTTTCTCGATTTTTGACAATGTTTCAAAAAATGGAAAAAAAATGCACAATTGAAAAATCAAAAACGAAAAAGTATCAATTGTAAAACGTAGCAAGGAAATCAAGGACTTGAAAAATTGAACGTCAGACAAGACAGACGGAAACGGGAGACCACTTTTTCGGACTTTAGAGATCAAAGTGGAAGTAAAAACATGCAAATGAGTCGCAATAACAACACTCGTTAAGCTTGCGCCCACGTGACTCAGGAAGCGGTCGCCCCGTCCTGCTGGAGGCGGCCGTTTTCCTGCATCACGTGACCGCCCCACACTTTTTTGAAAGCATGCTGTTACGGCGAAATCCACACCCACGACCGCGCCCCGCCCCCTACTCTAACGGTGATCACCTGGTCGCCGGCGCCGACTTCCTCCTCGTTGCGGTTCTCGTGGACGCCGGCAGCGATGTTGGAGGACTGCTGGTCCAGGGCCAACAGCACGTTGCACGTCTTGTAATCAAAACCTGCGTAAAACCGGGCATGCATTAAGTGACATGGTCATGAAAGGGTTGCCTGAGTTGGCGCAGTCGCACGGATCGTGCAAGTCGGTTTAGCGGACCCGGAGTGAGTGTTAGTACGAGGGCTGAAAATTAAGCGCGAGAGAAGCAGGCATGCTGTGAAAGCGGTCCATGTTCGTCCCCCCCGAACAGGTCAGAATTTTGTTCGTATACCTGGTCGCCCGCACCGAGCTCTAGCTCCTCTCTGTTTTCGTAAACACCCTTTGCTATGTTGGGAGACTGCTGTTCTATCGCCACCAGGAGATTGAGCGTGCGCCAGTCCAAGCCTAACGAAGTAACTTTTATTTTTTTCTCTGCGAGGTTTGGAGGTTTAATAGCATGCACAATCCTCGAGGGAGTTAGCGATAGGACGAAGAGTTGAGAGAAGGCTGGAAGGGGAGGGACGTACCTTTGGAGGAGTCGTCGTAGCCAATGTGGGCCACGGTCTCGCGGACGACCTTCTGGTAGTCGACGACGGCCTTAGACGTGATTTCGCCGCAGAGGAGAATCATCCCGGTCTTGGTGACGGTTTCTGGAAACTCCAAAATCACCACAAACACAAAGAAACGCCCAAGAACTTACCACAAGCGACCTTCGCGTCGGGGTCCTGCTGCAAGTGGGCATCCAGAATGGCGTCACTAATCTGATCGCACATTTTATCTAAAACAAAACAAGAGTCAAAAGGAGACAGGGTGGGTGGGCGGGGCTAATTATGTTCTTCTGTCGAGTGACAGTGAAAACTAATAATAAATCCAGGATGTAAAAAAAAGTAAAATAAAAGCGCTAATCGTAACTTCATCCCAGTCCTTGACGTTTCATGAGTTTCTACTTTGAATGATCTTCTAAGAAAAAATGACCGACATTTACCACCGTAAGGTACGAAAATAAAATTGGGTGCAATACTTCTTCTACATTATTGGCAACCTGCCGTTGGCACTCCGCGTAATTATTAGTGTTATCACGGTAAAAATATTCTCAAGGCGAACGCCACTATGCAATTTCGAGAAACTGGTTTTTGTAAAATCGACACGATTGTGGCGTTTTCCATTTTAATTACCATTATTATCGGACTAACTAGTTACTGCTTTTACAGCGATAGATAAAAAATGCCACGTGTTTTTAGTTGATGCGTTTGCTATTGTGGCTGACTAAGCTGGCAAAAGTGAAAAAAACGCATTTACCTACATAATAAACGATGATCCGGTACTTTCGTTGGCGCTATTTTACTCATTCCGGTGTTATGTAATAGTCCAAACACTGACTCAGTTATAAATAAGTATGAATGGCATGCAATTTAAATGCGGGGTTTTTGATTACACAGTAGGCTTCGATTTACATAAATTTTTGCGATTTTAATATTTACGAGTCCGATTTTAGTTCCACTTAAATTGTCACACCGAAGCCACTTTTATTCTCTATTGTACGTAATTATGGACTTTTTTCACCGAGCGCAGCGAGCTCTAAAATTTATCAAAACTTATTAGGTAATTCCACTTTGTAATTATGTATTATTGAAAGCGAGCGCAGCGAGCACGTGAAGTGAATCAAAGTGACTGGTGTTCAATTGAAAAATTACTCAGAGTAGGCGTTGCAATTTCATTTGACACACGACATGTCTAATTTTATGACACCAGTTTGGCAGAAACATAACCTTAAAACAGTTTCTGTCACATATCCAACCAATATTCGTTTTTCCTTGCTGCAGTGTAATACAGTTAAATCCATAAGGTTGTAACCACTCGTTAAATTGTAAGGTTGGCATTACAGCCAATGGTGTTTTTCACATAAACAGATTGGTAGCGGCGCATATGTCAAAATTTGACAATTACGCACGAGAGAGTTTTATTTAAATATCTCACAGTTTGTTATTAAACCATACCATTGAAAAATGGTACCGACACGGCATATTGTGGTAAATAAGCAGATGAAAATGGCACTTGCCAACTGCCACAATGAATTGAAACTTGCTTATCCCCAAGCATCCTCCCGAGAACTTGAATTCAAGCTTGTAAAAATCTTTTCAGTATGTAGTTATTCTTATACCATGGAAAGAGAGTACTATACTATGAGAGTAACGTATCGACATTCGGAACTTTTTTCATGTTATTACAACATGGTGGTATGTCGAAGGACTTTTAGTTTTAACTATCTCAAGTTGAAAGTGTATATCTCGCTTTTTAGTACAACATTGTCTTTTCAAGTTTTATACCCACTCTTTATATCCTACACAATACAACTAAATGTCCCTCATTAAATTCAAGCACTGCATACTTTCCCTGTAAACTTATCATTAATTCCTATCCTTTCCATAGTGTTCTCGATGTCAAGCCCACAAAATTATAACCCAACACCAATCTGGAGAACCGTTACAAGAAGCAAAGTGGAAACCAAAACAAAAATCGCAGTGGTATTCAAATTTGGAACTTAAAGAAGATCTAACCTACCGTATATTTGACAAAAACAAAAAAAATGAGTTTTTTACTCTTCAGGATTTGTTTATTTTTGCGAAAGAACATCCAGAATATACAGCAAGTTTAAATACTTTACGTTGAGTATTAAAATCCATGGGATTCAGATTTAAGAAAGTTAACAACAGAAAAATAATTGCTTTTTGGTTATTTGGTCTATGTGTTCCCAATGTTTCTAACCACTCCTGTAACAGTAAGTTTAAATAAGCCGTCAAATTATTTTCAACATACCTATTATTTTAGCCTCTGAATTTTGTGAAGTTACATTTTGTTCATTATTACCACTAAAATCGTCAGGACGGAGGAGCATAGCCAGACCTATCGCCTTCAACCAAATCCCTTGTACATTTTGTAAATAATAAGTAGTACCAAATATTAGAGTTATTAAACATAACATTAAAGACTTGTTGGTGTCCCATTTTTTTGATGAAAAATTGGTCATCCATTGCAACTAATTAAGGTGATCTACCCATTTTGACAATTTTGGTGTTGCTCGCGAGATTGATCATTTCAGTCGAGAGAGCTGATCCTTCGAGTCATAGTTAGCCACACATAATTATCACGTATACTCATGTACAATAATTTAAACAAATTCTGAATATCTCAGTTATTCCCCATCTGTAAAGTAACTTTTATGAAGCAGCAACAATAAATAAATCAATTCACCTTGTTTTTTTACCAGCCCAATATTTGATTTCATTCGTGACCACAATATTTTTGGGTTCATTTTATCGTAATTCGTAAACGTATCGACTGCAAGTCTAAATTACAGCAGGTGGCATTCTTTCTACAGATGAAAGATAAAACACGTTTCTATTTATCGTTGCTCTTGTATTATAATTACCATGAAGACTCAGGTTATCCTGTTTTTATTGAAAATTGTTTATCAGTTTTTACAATATTGCGACAAGTTACAATGATAATTATGAAATAACCTGTGCAGGAGTGCAAGAATTGCAGTGAAGTCGAACGTAATCATGTGTCGCGAATACATGAATGAACTGACATTATATTGACAGGTCACCAAATATGTCACCAGGTTATTAAAAGACAGATTCACACTGAATAATTTTTAAAAATTTACACTAGGGAGTGGTTACAACCTTATGGATTTGAGTTTACTAATAATAATAGTACTGTATACACAAATTTTGAAGAAAATGGAGACAGTCGTGAACGACGTTAGTCACAAAAAAAAGAATTTTTTTAAAGAAAAATTGCAATAATTAATGAATTATTATCACTAGTGAAGCTAATAAAGTTGATTTTTTACATTTGCAAAAAAATTTATATTGTCAGAATTTATACAGTTTATATATCGTATAAAACACTCAGTTGAGAATAATGATTTTTAATTTTTTTCGTAGTCGATATATTTGTTTTTTAAATAATTACACTTCATCAGACCCGTATTTTCCAAGTTTTGTAATTATATTTTAATGTGAACTTAAAATGTTGTTATCAATACAATTTTTGGGTGGTTGCTTTAAACACTCAGAGAAGTTGGGCTGGTTAACTTGGCAGAATGTTGTTATTTTGGTATTTATTAATTTCTGACTTTTAAATTAGTCTTATCTAAAAAAAAAAATTACCACGTTTCAAACCTGAAGGACAATTGATAATCTACTGATAAAAAAGCCCATGTAAATAAATAATACCTGTTTCGATAAGCGTCGTTGATTAGTAAAACACTACGCCGTAACTACAAGCAAAGTTCAACGTTTTTCCTGCTACATAATCAAAATAGGCGCAGTTCTAAAATCGCCTGCTTTACGTCAAATTCGTACCACTTATCGTCCGATTTTACGCCGAATCCAATTCGACTACAAATTATCGCAACCGATGACGCACATTCCGTTCTCGTTTCGTGCATACAAATCCGGCCGCGTGCGTGCATACAAATCCGGTTCCTCGAACTTGTTTTTTCAAAAATTCCAAACAAAACGAGCAAAACATTGAAAATAACGTCTTTTCGATCAAAACCCCGCCAGGAAAAACCCACTTCCCAATACAAAACCAGTTCTTCGGCGCTACAATAAGACAATAACCCATGGTTGAGTTGCCGCCATTTGTAACTTAGGCAACCCGTTATACACCCGAGTGGATCTAGTTGCCGCCACCCTTAAACAAAGACCGACCGCATGTTCCTGGATTGTGGCTAAAAGTGGATAAAAGTGTCCCGAACTAACTCTAGTGTGTAAGAAAACCTTCCAGAACCCCTTTTTCCTGTTTTTGTGATGTCCCGAGTTGAACTATCCCGTCCTACCCCCGTTTTCGGTAAGTCACCTAACCTCACTTTTGCGAACCGACGCCACCGTACTAATCGCCACGAGGCGCCGTTTTCGGTGGAATCCGCCGCCGGTGGCGGTTCGGCGAGCACGTGGCCGCCGCCCCATGTCGCAATATTGTGCAAAGGCGGCGCGCTCCGTTTTTGGCCATTCCGAGGGCCGTCGGAGCGCTGCGCAGCGGCGGCGCCATGTTCCCGGACCCAAAACGCACCAAAAATATACGAACCTGGGTGTCCCTCGCCCACGGACTCCGAGGTGAAGAGGAAGTTGGAACCGTCTTCGAGTTCGTACATGTTGTTGTGGCCGTTGGTGTACCCGTTGATGAGCGACGTTTCCGGCATTCTTGCACTGAACCTTTGTCGAACACTGACACAACCTACTACAACTTTTATGGAAAAGAGAACCCGGTGGAGGGAGATGGGCGCTTTTATAGAGGAGGCTGCTCACGTGGTGGCGGCGCGGCTCGTGGTTGGTCGCTGGCGCGGGAAATCTGAAATTTCGGCCTGGTTTAGTGGGTTGCGTGCGCTGGGTTGGACGCCCGCCGCCGGCCTGACGGCTGGGAGGGGGGATCGATAATGTGCGTGAGGGGAGGGCGAGGGGTGGGGTGTTTGGGTGCAGGGGTTGTTTTGGTCGGACGTCACGGAATGCCTGGGGTTTGGAGGAGTTTATGGCGGCGTTGTCTGGGCTATGAAATATGAGATGCTCATACCAGATATGTTGTAATCAGGCAAAAATTAAGTCTGATTTCGATGTCCAATTTTAATTACAGATAGTATGTAGTTACTTACTTACATTAAAAAACATGTTTTAATGTGAGTGTTGTTGACTGACTACATTTTGATGTCAAAGTTCCACTCGGTAATTCTGTTTACTATTTACTTAGTATCATTAGTGGGAACGAATTTATCAATTATCACTCATTATACAGGCTGTTTCAATGACTAGGCAGTAACGTAGTTGTACAGGACTCACTTAGAACTACAATTTATAATTTTTTTAAATATTGGGGGCGTTTGGTTTGCAAATTACTTGCACAACCTAGGGATGTATGTCAAATTTGTTGGTCATCCCCACCAACAAATTGAAGACCTCATTTCAAAATTTTACTGGATAAATCCCGTCTATGATGTACAAAATATTAGTTTTAAGGTCGATTTATAAACTTGCTGCTGACGTTGCTGTTCGCCGTTACGTTGCCGTTGACGTTGGCTTTTCAAGCAATCAAATTGCAGTGGTGTGCGTGCTGCCAACTTGAAGGAAAATCCCCTGAAATAAGGGGGGACAGTTTTCTGGTTGACAGCACTAATTTCACAAAAAGATAGTTCTCGAAGTTTAAATCAACAAAACTGATTGCTATTCGTTTCAAAAACAAACTAGGTATTTCAACTGCAAGGGCTTACATTTTTTGTATGAAAAAATGATATTAATATAGATGTATCATATATCAAACTGCAGCTTTTTTCATATTCTAGAGCGCAGAGACCAGTTCAATCAATTAAAAAAATATGGCTGAGAAATATCGTAAAAAAAGCACCATTGTATGTTTTCTTTTCAAGTTTTTTGAGTCATAACCATCATAGAATCGCTTGAAAATTCGCACATGGATAACACATCACTTTTTACAGGCCGCAGAGTCATTAAATGTTTGTTAGTGGTACAATTTGTTTAAATAATAATGTGTTTATTAAAATCAAAATATACCACAAATTAATGCAAAATACGTCGAATAATTTTAACAGGAATATCAGAGGAAAATTAATGATCTATTGGTTAGCAGAGTTTTTAACAAAAACTAACAATTATTGAAAAAAATAGTAGTTAGTTCAGTACTTTGCCGATAGGAGTGCCACTAAAATTTATGGAAGCGACTTTCCAGGTAAAACCCTTGTCACCTGCTTTACCATAAACTGATTATTAGAGTTCTTGGCTGATTTTTCTAATTTATGGCAAGGAACTCAGTTTTATAACAAGCTGCCAGGACCGGCCGTAGTCATCTATTGTTAAGGAAATTAACTTTTACGCAATGAGGTACTATCATAAAACCGAATTAAAACTGGAGAACTATAATATTTTTACTCCACTCAGGATCCTGAATTCAATACACATGATTACTAAAAATTCATTATACATAATATTATTGTTAATATATATTTTGCTTTGTTAATTAATAAAACTAATAAACATATTTATAATAATAATAAAAAATATATAAAATACAGCTTTTGTTTAATACGTATAAGTAGCTAAGTGTATCTACTACTTATCCCAGAAAGGAGGTGTTTTAAAAAAACCCTATGCCCAGTAACTTCTCCCTTCATTGTTTACTCGAAAAAGGTGCTCGTATATGTTTTCATTTGCCGAGAGATCATTTTGAAAATATATTTATAATAAAAATATGCAAGTCTTGGTGATGAAAAATCTACTCCTAATAAATTATTAAAGTACATAAAAAAATAGACACAAATTTTATTTATTTAAAAAAAATCTCTCGCAAAGGCAGGTTCCTCTTTCTCCTTGAATCAATTATTTCGGGCAATAATGCGCCAAAGTAAAATCTGCCAAGTTTATCTGCCATCTTTTTACATATATTTCTTCGTCTTTATAAATTTTTTCTATATTTATTCCTTTGGGTGTCCATACAACAAAATAAACTTGTGAAATACCCGTAACAAGCATTTGTCCCTGGACTTGAAAGTAGTAATCATGATTTTTTTTAGTTTCAATTGTCTGTCTGTCAATGTACAAAATTTGATTATTTTTTTTCTAACCGCTTCTTCGGGAGACAAATCTTGCGATTTTGAAGGGCATTTAATTTCGACTAATGCACTCCTATCCTCTAGAACCCTGTCTGGACTAGCAGTCAAGTAAGGAAATTGTCTTGAAATAACCGTTCAGTTTTTATATTTTTATTTATTTCAAAACACTTGACAGCTTTTTCCTCACTTTGCTGTCCATAGTATGTATGACTGTTACCTCTAAATGTACTGTACAACAGAGACTCCAGAGTTTTAGGTATTGCTGTAGTCGGTCTAAGTATGTAAATACGTCCAAAATTTGAAACCGTAACCCTAATTTCTCTTTCTTTTGCCGAAATGTGCCTGTTGCCTAGTGTCTATTTCAACTTGGTCTAAATTCAAAGATAATTTTCTCAAAAAAACCTCTTTGGCTGTCACAAATGTTTCTACATCCATGACAGCATTTTCTAAAAAATATTTAAACCATAATCGCAGTTGGAACCAGCATACGTAAATTTTTTACGACATATTTTTTTTACGAATACTTTGTCTAAGACGAGCTTGCTTCATAGACGAACAATATTTTTTTGTTATTAAACCAGGACCGTTTTAATCACAATATAATTACTTATCCCCTCTAAAAAATTGATGACGTCACCTTAAAATTTTGCTGAATAAATCCTACCTAAAATGTACAAAATCATCAATTTGGGTGACTCAAAAAATTTAGTGAATGCGCAAACTTATTTTATTAATTTAATCAGGAACTACAAAACCGAATGCTTTGAAATGTAATGTGAAAAAAAAAACATAATAGGCATGTAGTCGTCACGTTTCCGATAGCGAGGGAAGTACTGTCTAAACTCTTTAGACCAATTTTTTTGATTTTCCTATTTCTCCAATTCTCAATTTTTCAATGTTTCAGTCTGGGATTTTTTCACTGTTTCGATTCTTCAATTTTTTAAATTTTTGATATTGTGTTTTCTCGGTTTTTAAATTTTTCGGTATTTTAATTTTTCACTTTTTAAAGTTTTAGGTTTTTAGATTTCTCACTATCTCGACTTTTCGATTTTTCAGTTCCATGATTTTTCAATTTGTCGAATTTTTAAATTTTATTTTTTGTTTTCCTTGATATTTTGAGTTCTCGATCATTCGATTTTCTGAGTTTTCAGGCTTGGATTTTTTTTGTTGTTCGATTCTTGGATTTTTAAAATTTTTGTTTTTTAAATTTTCCTATTTATCAACTTACTGGAATTTCAATGTTTTGATTTTTTGATTGTTCAATTTCTCGATTTTTTTAATGTTTAGTTTTTGATACGATTTTTTTTTTCAAAAATTTTCAGTTTTTCAATGTATTAACTTTACGATACTTCAGTTTTGCTCGATTTCGATTTCTCAATTCTTCGACATATTACTATTGGGATTTTTCAATTTATCGATTCTTCGATTTCTCGATTCTTCATATTTTCGGTTTCTCCAATTTATTCATTTTTTGATTTCTCAATTTTCCGATGTTTCAGTTTTACGATTTTGAATTTTTTTTATTTTTCAGTTTTCAATTTTTGACGTTTCAAAATTTTTCGATTTCTCAATTTTTCGATTAACTGATTTTTTGATTTTCCCATTTCTCTATTTCTCGATTTTTCAATTCTTTCTTCAATTGTGATTTTTCAATTTTTCGATTTCTGAATTTTTCAATGTTTCAGTTTTGGATTTTTTCACTTTTCCGATTTTTCAATTTTCCTTCCATTTTTCAGTTCTTCAATTTTTCCATTTTTTGATGTTTCGATTTCTCGGTTTTTCAATTTTTCGATAGGTATTTTAATTTTTCAATTTTTAAGTTCTAGATTTTCCGTTAATTTTTTTGTTTTCCTTGATGTTTTGATTTCTCGGTTATTCGATTTTTCAAGTTCTCGGTTTCGATTTTTTGGTTATCCCATTCCTCGATTTTTAAATTGTTTAATTTTTAGATTGTTCAATTTCTCGATTTTTAGATTTTTCAATTTTTCGGTTTATCGATTTTTTTTCATTTAAAATGTTTCAATATTTCAATTATTAACTTTTCGATTTTTCAATTTTCGTCTAATTTGATTTCTTAATTTTTTGATTTTTTGACTCCTCTACTGTTGATGTTTTGATTTCTCGATGTTTCAGTTTTTGAACATTCCGATGTTTCGATTTTTCGACTTTTTGGCTTTTCGAGTGTTCAATTTTTTGATTTTTGAATTTTAGATTTTTGTTTTTTTAATTTTTTTGGTGTTTCAATTTCCCAATTCTTCAGTTTTTCGAATTTTTAAATTTTTGATTTTTCTTTTCTTTTATTTCTCAATTTTTGGATTTTTAAAATTTTACATTTTTCGATTTTACTATTTTTTGAATATTGAGAACTTTTCAATTTCTGGATTTTCAATTTTCTGATATTTTAATTTTTTGATTTTTTAATGTTTCGATTTTTGGGTGTTTTGATTTTTCGATTTTTAAAGTTTTTGATTTTTCGAATTTTCCTATTTGTTGTCTATTTTAAGTATATTTCATTTTTCAATTTGCGCCTTCTGCGGAAGTATTATTTGTTGTGTTGTACTTGACGGACGAGGGAAGTTCTGTCGAAATAACCTTCGACCAATTTTTATACTTGGCACGTAGGGTTCTTACTAAGCATTCCTTATTTAACCGAACAGTTATTAATTTAACTAAGCAGCTATTATTTCACCAAGCATATATTATTTTTACCGAGAATTTATTTTTTAACTGAGCATTTATTATATAACTTAGGATTTATCATTTTGACCGACCAAAAAAAAAGAGCGTTTAAAAATAGAACTGTGGATTTAATTTGTTCCCTTATAACAAGAAAACGGTATTAATAATACATTTAGGCGAATAAACTAATAGACGGGCTTAATAAGCGTTGTTTGCTCTACAGTGTCTAAATTGTGTTTGAATAATATAATAATTATCTCGAATATTAAAATTAATATGTCAAAAGAATCCGAGAAATGATTATTCTGTGCTGAAGGTATAGATTTAAAGAAGAATTGCTGGTTGCGTTTAAGGCAACAAATGGCGCCCAATTCAAACTTGTCTCTCGTCTAGCGTTCCCCCTTAATATGTGTACCGTAGTGTTCTTTTCACAAGGACGGTAAAACACGTTTCAAATGGTAAATTTGTATAGCGAAATATCGATTTTGCAATTACGCTCCGCCCCTCGCTCTGACAACGAATGAAAAATTCATCACGATTGAGATCGAGACGGATAGATGGGTGGGGCTTCTCTTTAGCTTTTCGTTTTTAATTAATTAATACATTTAGTTTTCTTTGTATAACACGATTACTTAAGAACATATTTCACGTGGCAATTTCTCGAAGAAAAATAAATGTTTTACAATTAAACTCCGCCCCTCGGCTTACGACGAATAAAAAAAATCATCAGAATAGACATAGGGCGGGTGGACGGGGCTTATATCTTACCTTTTTTTTCTTAATATACATAGCCATCTTTTCACAATAAAATGTAAGCCCGCCCACCCACCCTGTCTCAATTGTGATGATTTCTTTATGTTCGCTGTGGACCAAGGCATCGGTGCTTAACTGCAAAATACTTATTTCTTTACAAGAAATTAAAAACATGTTTTTGAGTATCGTGTTGTTTAAAGAATACTATGTACATTAAGAAAAATAAACCCCGCCCACCCACCCCATCTTAATTATGATGATCTTTTTTGAAAGTCTTCTCGATTATCAAAATTTTGAAAATGTCAAGAACTAAAAAATACAATAATTAAAAAAAAACAATCACAACTGCATGTTAAGGGTTAAAAACTTCTTTGTACATTTCGGCAAGAACAAGTTTTAAAAAAAACCGAAGATCTTGCCGTGTTTTCAAAATTATAATTATTTCCAAAATCAGAAACAACTTGAAACGTAAAATTAACTTAATAATTTATAAACGAATGAAATGTTTTATATCTTTGGTTGATAAACGAAGTAATTGTTGTACATTTCAAGAATGATTTTTTTTAATGTTGACGTTCTTCGCATTCAACTCCAGAATTCCAAGAAAATTTGAGATTTAGGAAAAAATTGGCGACTATAAACCAAATATTCATTTTTCAATTGTAAACAAAAACCACAAAGACATTTTTTTTATTTGAAGACCTAGAAGCATTCTCGAAATTGTAAATACATATTTCCAAAATCGGAAATATTTTGAATATACATCAATGATCCACTTTTTCTATTTTTAGTTAACAAAACTTTCCATAGTCTACATAACACATTGCAATAATGATTTTTTTTAAGGAGTGAGAAGGTTCTGTTATTTAAACAGTAGATCCTTTTTTTAATAACACACCCTATATATTTTCATAGTTTTGGATTCCTTATTAAAAATGAGAAAAATGAAATTACACATGCTTTTTTTGGCAACAATTTGCAACATAAATTAATTTTTATATAAAAATATTAGTCATAGTAAAAAATGTGCAAATACTTTCGGACTTATCTCGAAGCAAACTTTCTTTGATAACAGATTTGTGTTTATCGCAGCTATTATTAAAAAAATGTTGGGATAAATAATATCTCCGAAAAATAATATAATAATATTTTATAACTATAACATAATATGTAACTAATATAGTTGAAAAAATGAAAGAAACGTGGAGTAGAATGAGAAAAATTAATTTAATGAAGTAAAAAAACGTAACTATTTACCTATATTGTTTGTGCTTCGAAGGCTTGGGGCGTTCGGCGCAATTAACCGCTCACTTTTCGTTAAAAAAAAGACGTAGCTCGAACTTGTTGCTAAAACAACATCAATAAACATAAGGTATTATCGACGCACATAAATGTAAATCTAATGGAGTCATTCATAATTCTACGACTATTTTTAAACCGATAATAATTCAAATTTTGTTCATAAATTACGATAAAAAGGCTATCGTACTTCCTCTATCGGATGGGACTTATTTCATAACTACATTTTTGTTAAAGGACGATACTGATAACTATTTTTACTTAGAACATTACATCATGCAGAAAACGACCACGTAATTTTCGAATGATCCCATTTTTCCAAAGTGCAACTAAGTACACGCAAATTGTTACTTTATTTAGAATTTCGCCGGGTTTTTGGAAACTTTGACCTTTTGCACGAGTATGCAACTCGTCGAACGCTGATAGTGGAAGATCATGACCCCGCGGCCGAAAACTGGAAAAATTTAGATTTTTTGAATTTTGGACAATTTTAGATGCATCTGACGACAAAAAACAGAACAATTTTTTTCTTTTAAAATAGTAAAAAAAAAATCGTGGAACTAACTGAAACCAGCGATTATCACAGGCCTGCAAAATTTCGATTTTTGGTTGGGGTTTGAAAAATTTTGGGTAGACATGTTTAGTATAGACCTACACATTCCAAAAGTATCATCAGTTTTTTTCTATCACCTAAGATTTTTAAACCACAGGGCAAAACTAAAAATACTTAGAATGAATACTATTTTAATGTTAACTCATTTAATTGACATATTTATAATATTATATTTTAGTGATATTTAAAGTTACGACTTCTTTCTCATTGTACGTTTTCGTTTTTTACCATTTTGGACCATTTCCGTAATTGTTCAACACAAGTATGACAAACTTTATGTGGAACCCAATTTTTGTCTTGATTTCCAATGTCGAATCCAAAATAAATGCGATATGCGTTTTTAACAAATTCAGTAATGTTTCTTCGAAGTTTTTTAATAACATAACAACCACAAATATAACAAAAACTATCAGGTTCATTAACACAATGAAAACGAAATGAAGTTGAAGCCATTTTACGTCTTCATTGAATGATTTGATTTAAATGTCCAAAATTGAGGCAAAATAGAGACCATTTCCAGGGGAATTTATGGTTTTAGTTTCGCAACTCACTAGGATGCTTTTATGCGTTAACATTATTCCAATAAATAAAAGTTAAGTAATAGTAAAATAAAATGTTGTGCGGTACTGCTAATTTTTCTTAAAATGTAAGCATATTTTTTTGTAATTGAACTATACGTGATGGAAAAAAAATAAGTACAGATATATTAATTGTATGTGATCCTTATCATAAAATACTAACAAGAATTCAAACCCCAAATTCATGCCGGCCTATTAATTTAATCTAAAATTTAATAAAAATAAAAGATACTTTTTTGGAAGTTTTGATTTCTGCGCTCTTTTTTGAAGTACCTGTTTTAGAAAATCTGGTCACTAGAACTCACGGGCAATTGGCACGTCTTAACCCACTCAACACTTGCAAGAAAGTAGAGCTCGATCAAGCACTTCTGACGAAATGTCGCAGAAGGGTGATCTTATCTCGGGTTTTTATATTTCATCGACAGATGATGAAACAGTCGGTTTTGTTGTGCCCGTGATTGTTATGGTAAACGTCTGTAAAACGGAACTTAACAATGCTAATGTATCCAAAATGGAACAATGATGTGTTTGCACACAAATAGACACTGTTCATAAATAAATCTGTGTCTATTACACTTTTGTATATTTTCGCAAAGTCGTTTGTCATGGCGCCCCCATTGTCCTAATTTTTTGCGATTCTTCAGTCCAGATCATTTGTTCACGGCCGTCGTGGCTAATTTTCTCCTGAAAACACGAATTTCACAATTTCTGTTGTGTTTTTACAATATCGTCAGTTTTTCTGACCTTTATTTGTTCAAGATTCATTCAAATTGCTTAACGATTGGTACAGCGTTTTGTAATTAAGTAATTGTGTAACTCCTTAAAAACATTGCTTGTTTTCGATTAACGAAATAATCATTCGAAAGGAGTTGAATTATTTGCGAAAAAGTACAATCTGGGTGTTTTGCACCAAAATCAGTTGTTTGTATTTTTTTCCTAGTTATCATTGAGTTATTCCCTCTTTCCTCATAATTTTTGTAACCTATTGCATCTCAGCTTAATTTCGCCCGTTTTATTATCATTACGAAGTTTTTTTGTTGTTTGTTGCTGTTCTTTGTTCGATAACTACCGGATCTTGGGAGATAACCTCAAAATTTATGATAAGCGATCGATCGGAGTGGATTTTTGGCCCTTTGATTGGTCCAGGTTTCGACGAGTTAGACATCTGCATTTATCTACTCGGGGTCAAGGTTTAACGTCATCGTAATTTTTCTCTTATCGTGAACATTCTTTTATTTTTTTTTATTTCGAGTGAGTGGGTTATGGATGAAAAAAAGCCCTTTTTGTAACGTGACATTTATTGTAAAACAATGTTATAAATAAACTTAAGTGAACATCAATATACGCGCTCTGACAAAGCAATATCACTTGACCTAAGTGTAAATATAACTATTCTTGCAGTAAATAATAACAGTAAGGTTAAGGTATTGTATTCAAAGGCACTCCTATATTCAAGTCTTATAATAGAAGGGTTAACGCAGGAACACGTGACAAGAAGGGGAGGAAAATGTAGTTAAAGACTGAGACACCCTTAAACATCCTAGTACAATAATGGAAGAACGCTTTAGTCCTAAAGATGATATTCCGATGATATCGAGCCTCGGCTCTTTTGGTGCGTCGCATGACCCTAACCTAGAGATTATTTGGCTAATGACTAGATGCTCGCTAACCTACCGTTTTTACAATCCTACAAGCTCTAAAGAATCGAAAATTGCAACTGTACGTAGTCGGGCTATTTCTATTTTGGTATGGCAATGTATTTCGCAGTTAGCTCAGTTGTGTCTATTTCAAGTGTTGCAATTTTCTTCTTCCTTTGACGGATTTCAATATCATGTGCGCTCCGATTCGCTAATATCTAAGTGAGTAAGCCCACGGGACGCTAAATCTTCTCCACGTAGTTCCCAGGGAACGTGCCGAAGGCCCCGGTCCTGTCGCTGGACCCCACGTACCAGCCGTCGTCGCACTTCTCCAGAACGTAGACGGTGTCGCCCTCGAATAGTTCTAGTTCGTCGTCGTTCTGGGGCAAGTACTTGTACAGAGCGCGGTATCTGGAAGGAAAAATTGTTGATCATTGCGTCAGATTTGTAGATGTACATGTACGAGCATGACTTGCGCTTTTTCTGTTTCTGGGTTAGTAATTACGCTGATAAGGTTTTAATGACACTGGAAGGACGCATGGTCTCCTGGAACTTGGTTCAAATAGATTGGTCGGAGGTTATTTCGACAGAGCTTCCCGTATCCCTGAAGTGCATTTTTTGCGATTTTTGTTCTTTGATAACCTCTTTGTAAAAACCAGTGACGTAAATGACACTTCCGCAGCTTTCTTGACTTGAATTTTATAATTCTTCGATTTTAATTTTTTTTTGTTCCTTCAATTTTTCCTTTCGGTTTTTTATTTTCTTAATTTTTACACTTTTTCGATTTTATAATGTGTTATAAAGTCTCTTTTTTCAATTTGAAATTTTCCAATTTGTGATTTGCAATTTTTCTACTTTCATTTTAGATATGTAATAATTGTAACTTTTAAAATATTTCACTTTTTCAATTTTACGATTTTAGAATTTTTCTGTTTTTGAATGATTGCATTTTAAAACTTTTTTATTTATTCTATGCATTTTTCAATTATTGGATTTTTAATTTTTCAATTTTTCGCTTCAGTTGTTACTTCAGTTTAAAAATGTTTTGATTTTTCAATATTGCGAAGTTATTTTTTGTTTTTTCAATTTCAATTTGTTCAATTTTTCGATTTTTCATTTTAAAATTTTTCAGTTTTTTGATTTTCTAACTTTTGGATCTTTCAGTTCTTAGATTCTGTAATTTTTCGAATTGCAGTTTTTCGTTTCGGTTTTTTGTTTTCTTTATTTTTTCAGAGTTTCAATGTTCTGATTTTATAATTTCTCTATTTTTCAGTATGTAATTTTTCGATTTTTTGATTTTTCAATTTCAGATTTTTTTATTTATTGTTTTTTCAATTTTTCTAATTTTCATTTTGAAGATATAATAATTATCATGGTTTTTAAAATTTTTGACATTTTACTTTTACGATTTTAGAATTTTTCAATTTTTCAATTACTGAATTTGAAAACTTTTTCATTTATTCGACTTTTCAGTTATTCGATTTTTAATTTTTCAATTTTTCATTTGTCAAATTTTCGACTTGGAATTTTTCGTTTCAGTTTTTTTAGTTCTTTATTTAAACATTTTTTCGATTTTTCGATATTTCAATTTTATAATCTCTTGTTTTTCCAATTTCAATTTTTTCAGTTTTTCGATTTTCCAACTTTTAGATATTTCAATTTCTAGATTCTGCAATTTTTCGATTTGAAATTTGAGGAGTTTTCAATTTTTAATTTTTCTATTTTTCGAATTGCAGTTTTTCGTTTCGTTTTTTATTTTTTTATTTTTGTGGTTTGTCAATGTTGTAATTTTTAATTTTAGATTCTTTTTTATTTTTTGTTTTTTCAGTTTGAGATTTGCAATTTTTCCAATTTTCATTTTGAATATAATATAATTATCATAGTTTATCAAAAATTTGAGGAAATTAAAAAATTCAAGAATAGAAAATGGAAAAAAAACAAAATTATAAAATCGAAACTGAAAAATCGTGTAACTGAAAAAAAAATGAAGAAAACAAAAACTAACGAAACTTTAAGACTTCAAAACTCGAAAAATTGAAGAAACAGACAAAATCGAAAATTCGAAAAATCGAAAATTTAAAAAATTGAAAAGTCGAATAACTGAAAAAGTTTTAATATTATTAATAATGGAAAAACTCTAAAATCGTAAAATTGATTTTTTGTTTAGTATCATTACATTTTTAAGAGTAAAAAGAAAACAACAAAAATTGCAAATCGAAAAATTGAAATTGTTAAGACCAAACATTGTAAAATCGGAACTGAAAATTCAAAACATTGTGAAAATTACGAAGATGAAAAACCGAAATGAAAAATTGCAAATCGAATCGGAGAAGTAAAAAACTGAAGAATCGAAAGTTTGAAAAATTAAAAATTCAAAAATCGTACAGTGGAAATCTGGAAAATTTTTAAGATTATTATTAAATATTTAAAATGAAAACTAGGAAAATTGAATAATTAAAAATTTGAATAATCTCACGTAGAAAAAAAGAAAAATCACAAAATCAGAAATTTGAAACACCGAAAAATAAAGAAAATAATGCAGATCCAAAAATTCCAAAATCCAAAAATTGAAACATCCAAAATTTGGAAAATTGAAAAATTTAAAAATGAAAACTCGAACAGTTGCAAATCAAAGAAGTAACGAAAAATTGGAAAATCCGAAAAGTGAAAATTTTTAAATGAAAAAAGAAAAATTATAAAATCTGCACATTGCAAATAAAAAATTTGAGGAAACTAGAAATTAAAGAATCGAAAAATTAAAAAATCTCAAATCGAAAAGTTGAAGAAACAAAAAATTATGAACTCCAAACTTCGAAAAATCGTGTAATCGAAAAAAAATTAAGAAAATAAAAAGCTAATCGAAAAATTAATTTTGGAAACTCAATGAAAATTTGAAAATTTGAAAAATTTAAAACTTTAAAACTCGAAATTTGCAAATCGAATAATTGAAGGAACAAAGAATTATAAAATCGGAACATTGAAAAATTAAGAAAATAACCGAAAGAAAAAATTGCAAATCGAAAATTTAAAGAATGAACAATCGAAGGATCGAAAATTTTAAAAATTAAAAATCGAAAAACTGAAAAGTCGAATAAATGAAAAAAAAATTAATAATGGAAAAATTTTAAAATCGTAAAAAAATTTCTTTCATCATCATTATTACATAGTTAAAAAGAAAATAAGAAAATTGCAAATCTAAAATTGAAACATACAAAATTTGAAAAATTGAAAAATTGCAAATCGAAAAAAATTTGATAAAATTGAAATGGTGAAGAGCATGAAAAATTGAAAATGTAAAAATTCAAAAAGTGTACAATGGAAAAGTGAAAAATTTTGAAGATTTTTTTAAATATATAAAATGCAAACCAGAAAAATTACAAGCAAAAATTGAAAAATTCAAAATTTGATTAATTTCAGGTAAAAAAAAAGAAAAATTATAAAATCAGCACATCGAAAAATTGCAAATCGAAAAAAATTTGATAAAATTGAAATGGTGAAGAGCATGAAAAATTTAAAATGTATTTAAAATTTTTTACTTTTTACCTTTACAATTTTAGAATTTTTCCATTTTTCAATAATTATGTTGATTTTAATTTCCAATTTTTCAATTACTATTTTCCAATTTTTTAGTTTCTCGCCTTTTAGTTTTTCTGTGTTGTTTTTCATTTCTTCAATTCTTCGATTTGCGATTTTTTGATTTTCCGCTTTTTCCATTTCGCAGTTTTTGGATTTTTCAATTTATCCATTTTTTCAAAAAACGCAATCGAGAAAATGAAAATTAAAAATTGGGGAAAATGAAAAATAGATATCAAAAAACTGAATAATTGTGGAAACGAAAAATTCAAAAATTAAAAATTGAGAAACTGAAAAATCGAAAAATGAAAAACTGTAATATTGAAAAACTGAAAAATCGAAATTAAAGACCGATTCATCCAAAACTCAGAGATCGGGAAATCAAAACATTGAAAAATCTAAAATTTAAAAAAAAGAAAGAAAAATATTGGAAAATGTACAAATCGAAAAGTCGAAAATTCGAAAAATCTAAAAGTCAAAAAATCGAGAAATCGAAAAAAAGACAATGTGGAAATCTCAAAAATTGAAAAATCGAGAGATCTGAAAATTGTTAAGTCGAAAAATTGAACCATCGAAAATTTATAAAACTAAATAATCATAAATTTTGAAAAACCCAAAAATTGAAGAACTGAAAAATCAAGAAGTCGAAAAGTAGAGAAATGGGCAAAATAAAAAATTCGAAAAATTAATTAATCAAGAAATTTAAAAACAGAAAATCTAATGAATTGGAAAATTGAGAAATTGATAAATCTAAAATTTAAAAAACCGAAAAATAAAATATCGAAAAATTGAAAATTCGGGAAATAGAAACATCAAAAAATTAAAAATCGGAAAATCTCAAATGAAAAAATCGAACAAAATATATACAAATTGAAGAATCGAAATATTGAAAAATCTCAAAATTTTTAAACGCCAAAAATTGAAAAAGGGAAAATTTGAAAATCTAAAAAAATTAGAAATCGATAAATCTAAAATTTAAAAAACAGGAGAATTAAAGTAATAAATCAAAAACTTGAAAAATCGGGAAATCGAAAAGTCGCAAAATCGTCATGCGAAGAAATTGAAAAACCGAAAATTGAAATAACTGAAAAATGAAAAACCTGAAAAATCGGAAAATTGAACAATTGTAAAAAAACTGAAAGATCTAAAAGTAAAAAATCGATAAGTCGAAAAATGGAAAAGATGAAAAATAGAAAAATGAATTAATCAAAAAATCTAAAAATTGAAAATTTAAAAACGCCAAAAATTAATTAAAATACTGAAAAATAAAATATCAAAAAAATAAAAAATTGGAAAAGTATTAAACCGAAAAATCGAAACGAAATATCTAAAAATAAAGAATCGAAATATTGAAAAAGCCCACAATTGAAATATCGGAAAATTCATCAATGAAAAAATTGAAAAATCGAGAAATCGAGAAGTCGAAAAATTCTGAAGTCAAAAATTGAAAAACCGAAAATAAAAAAAAATGATGAATTGAAAAACTGAAAAAATTGATTAATGGAGGTATCGAAAAATTGAAAATTTTGAAACACCAAAAATTGAAAAATTAAATCGAAAATTTGAAAAATCAAGAAATTAAAAAAAATTAAAAAATCCCAAAACTGAAAAATAGAAAAGTTGAAAAAATGTAAAAACTGATAAATAGAGAAATCGAGAAGTCGAAAAATCGTAAAACCGTACAATAAAAAAATCGAAAAATGTAAAAGTCAAAAAATCGAATAATCAAAAAGTTGAAAAATCCCAGAATTGAAATACGGGAAAATTGGTCAATCGAAAAATTGCAAAATCCAGAAATCAAAAAGTAGAATAATCGGAAAATTGAAAATTTAAAAAATTGAAGAATTGAGAAACTGAAAAATCGAGGAATTGGGAAGTCGACAAATGGAAAAGATGAAAAATAGAAAAATGAATTAATCAAAAAATCTAAAAATTGAGAATTTAAAAACGCCAAAAATTAATTAAAATACTGAAAAATAAAATATCAAAAAATAGAAAAGCTGACAACTTGATAAATCGAGATATCGAAACATCAAAAAATCAAAAAATTGGAAAAAGTATTAACCGAAAAATCGAAACGAAATATCTAAAAATAAAGAATCGAAATATTGAAAAAGCCCACAATTGAAATATCGGAAAATTCATCAATGGAAAAATTGAAAAATGGAGAAATCGAGAAGTCGAAAAATTCTGAAGTCAAAAATTGAAAAACCGAAAATTAAAAAAAATGATGAATTGAAAAACTGAAAAAATTGATTAATGGAGGTATCGAAAAATTGAAAATTTTGAAACGCCAAAAATTGAAAAATTAAATCGAAAATTTGAAAAATCAAGAAATTAAAAAAAAATCAAAAATCCCAAAACTGAAAAATAGAAAAATTGAAAAAATGTAAAAACTGAGAAATAGAGAAATCGAGAAGTCGAAAAATCGTAAAACCGTACAATAAAAAAATCGAAAAATGTAAAAGTAAAAAAATCGAATAATCAAAAAGTTGAAAAATCCCAAAATTGAAATACGGGAAAATTGGTCAATCGAAAAATTGCAAAATCCAGAAATCAAAAAGTAGAATAATCAGAAAACTGAAAATTTAAAAAATTGAAGAATTGAGAAACTGAAAAATCGAGGAATTGAGAAGTCGAAAAATGGAAAAAATGAAAAATAGAAAACTGAATTAATCAAAAAATCTAAAAATTGATAATTCAAAACGCCAAAAATTAATTAAAATACTGAAAAATAAAATATCAAAAAATAGAAAAGCTGACAACTTGATAAATCGAGATGTCGAAACATCAAAAAATCAAAAAATTGGAAAAAGTATTAACCGAAAAATCGAAAGGAAATATCTAAAAATAAAGAATCAAAATATTGAAAAAGCCCACAATTGAAATATCGGAAAATTCATCAATGAAAAAATTGAGAAATCGAGAAGTCGAAAAATTCTGAAGTCAAAAATTGAAAAACCGAAAATTAAAAAAAATGATGAATTGAAAAATTGATTAATGGAGGTATCGAAAAATTGAAAATTTTGAAACGCCAAAAATTGAAAAATTAAATCGAAAATTTGAAAAATCAAGAAATTAAAAAAAATCAAAAATCCCAAAACTGAAAAATAGAAAAATAGAAAAAATATAAAAACTGAGAAATAGAGAAATCGAGAAGTCGAAAAATCGTAAAACCGTACAATAAAAAAATCGAAAAATGTAAAAGTCAAAAAATCGAATAATCAAAGAGTTGAAAAATCCGAAAACTGAAATACGGGAAAATTGCTCAATCGAAAAATTGCAAAATCCAGAAATCAAAAAGTAGAATAATCGTTAAGTCAAAAATCGGAAAACGAAAATTTAAAAAATTGAAGAATTGAGAAACTGAAAAATCGAAAATTAAAAAGTCGAAATACCGAGAAATCGAAAAGCTGAAAAATCGAAAATTTAGAAATGCCAAAAATTGAAAAATTAAATCGAAAATTTGAAAAATCTAGAAAATTAAAAAACAAAAAATTGAAAAATCGCATAAACGGGCCAATTTTAAATTGCAAAATATTATACAACTTTGAACTTTTTTCCAAAAATCTGATTCATTCGTTCATGAAGTGCAGCAGTATCTTATTTTATAAAAAATATATAATTATAGATTTGTGATATGATGTCAGACAGACAGACGGAAACGGGAGACCACTTTTTTCGTACGCCAGAGGTCATGAAATGTCGAGAAAACATGAAAGTGGCAGACTTCAAGCTTCAACACCCAGAAGGAGAAACTGCGCTTGTGTTTTCTCGGTACTCACGGTATGGGCTCCGACTGGGTCTCTATGTGCAGGGCCTGACTCATGGGGTTCTTGGGCCCTCTGTTCAGCGACCCGTACCCTGTGACCTGCACGGGCTTGGCGTGGTAACTGCTGGTGAGCTGGTTTGAAGACAAACTCGGCGTGTAGCTGTGACTCCCCATAGACTCTTTCCCGCCCGCCGAACCATTAAGCAACAGCGAGTGCGCCGCCGGCGCCGCCACTGGCTTGCTGCTTGGAGGCGGCGGGTCGCTGGGGTCTATCAACACCTCCACGTACGACACCGGGAAAATCCCCTTCCTCCCCCCGATTTTTCCTTCGAACCAATTATCGTCCACCCTCCGAGTGATCACCACGAGCTCGCCCTTGGCCAGGGACAGCTCCAGGTGCGTCTGCGCCACGAAGTTGTACTTGGCCCGGGCCTGTCCTTCGTGCGACTTCCTCGGCGTGGGTTTGGCGGCGTCGTAGGTGACGATCTGGAATCGCACGAATGAATGAATCCATCCCACTTTCACGCAACCGTAACCCACTAACCTCGACGTAGTTGACCGGGAAAAGCCCCACCATGGCATTCAACTCTCCTTCATACCAGTTCTTGTCCACCTGTCTTCTGACGTAGATGAGATCTCCCTTGCGGAAGGTCAGTTCGCGCGCCGTCTGCCCGACGAAGTTGTAGAGAGCTCTTGCCATCAGTCGCGGCTCGGGCGACCTCGGCCGGGGCTTGACGGGGGGCGCGAGGTCGTCGAAGTCGTCGTACCGGTTCAAGGGGATGGGGGATTTTTGCGAGGGGATGAAGTTGTCGGTGTGGCGGCGGTTGGTCATGTCTTGGAGCTCCTAGAAGATTACCCAAGAGGTACCACCGTGCATTTATTACTAATTATAATGTATGCTAATGTATTATAATGAGGCTACCAAGGAGCAGCTGTTAGTTCATCGTCTTATTGCGTAGTTATTTTTACAAACCTTGCATCCAACCCATTAGTAAGCGTTACTCCAGCGCACCCTGTATATCGTGGTCTAATCTACTTACTTGCAACGACTTGCTAACCTGGAGGTATTTTCGTCGACGTTCTTCTTGGTAAATTTTCTTCATTGCTTCGGCTTGCCGGTAGGCGAGTTCGTCTTCGCTCAGGTACTCTTTGATCTCTTGTCGTACTGGTGTTTTGTAGTGGATTGTCACTTCGTTTTCTACATACTTTCGTGGAGATTCTGGAAATGGGAAGAGTGGACTTTAAATGGCGACAAACAGAGCGGACATTACAGTAAACGCGACCGTTAAAAGACATTTGGAGTTGTATGTCGATGACATGTTACAGTTATAGGTGGGAAATGATGGTTGAGGAATTCTTTGGCGTATTCGTGTTATACGGGTACGGTATTAGAATTCATTGGGCGCAGCGACGGAGACAGCATGGAGTTGTTTGTTTCTACAATGGTACTATATTAGTACCGCATTAAAAAAAATTCAATGTTTCAATTTCATTATTTTTTGTTTTTTCAATTTTTTACTTTTTTTTGTTTTTTTAATTCTATGATATGCAACTCTTCCAGTTACCATTTTTAAATTTTCCAATATTTCGATTCGATTCGTTTTTTTCCTCTTTAAATTTTTCGATTCATTAACTTTTTTCGATTTTGACGTTTCCCGATTGTTAGGTTTTTATTGCTTGAATTTTTCGTTTCTTCAGTTGTTAGATTTGCAATTTTTCGATTTTCTACTTTTTCCGTTTTGAAACTTTTCGCTTTTTCAATTTTTAGATTTTTCAATTTTTCGAATCTAAAAAATAGAAAAATTGCAAAGTTATAAAATTGAAAAATCAAAAATGAAAAAACGAAAATGTATAAAATCAAAAATTTAGAAATGCCAAAAATTGAAAAATAGAAAAAACAAAGAACTGAAAAGTCGGGAAAACGAAAAATTGTTAAATCGAAGAATCAAAAAAGAGAAGAACTGAAAAATCAGTAAGTCGAAAAACAGAGTAATGGGTAAAATAAAAAAATCGAAAAATCAATTAATCAAGAAATTTAAAAATTGAAAATTTAGAAACGCCAAAAATTGTAAAATTGAAAATTTGAAGAATTGAAAAACTGAAAAATAGAAAAATTGAAAAACTGAAGAAATGAAAAATCGATAACTCTAAAATTTAAAAAATAGAAAATTTGAAAAAGAAAAAAAATCGCAAAATCGAAATATTAAAAAAATCCCAAAACTGAAATATTGAAAAATTTCAAAATTGAAAAATCAATTAATCAAGAAATCTCAAAATTCCGAAACGCCAAAAATTGAAAAACAAAAAAATGAGAAATCGATAAATTTAAAATTTAAAAATTAGAAAAATTGAAAAAGTAAAAAAAAAAATCCCAAAACCGAAATATTGGAAAATTGACCAATCGAAAAACTGAAGACTCGAGAAATCAAAAAAGACGAAAAATCGTCAAGTCAAAAATCGAAAAAACGATAATTTAACACTTTGAAGAATTGAAATACTCAAAAATCGAGAAATTGAGAAGTCCAAAGATCGAGAAATCGGAAAATCAAAAAATCTAAAAGTCGAAACATCGAGAAACCGAAAAGCTGAAAAACCGTAAACTTGATTAATGGAGAAACTGAAAAATCGAAAATTTAAAAACGCCAAAAATTGTTTTCTTCGTTCGTTTGTCGATGCATTAACTTTTTTCGATTTTGAAATTTCCCGGTTTTTAGTTTTTCAATGTTTCAATTTTTCAATTCTTCATTTCTTCGATTTGGAATTCTTCGATTTTATTTTCCATTTTTTCCATTTTGGAATTTTTCGCTTTTTCAATTTTTAGATTTTTCAACTTTTCGAATCCAAAAAATAGAAAAATTGCAAAGGTGTAAAATTGAAAAATCAAAAATGAAAAAACGAAAATGTATGAAATCAAAAAGTTAGAAATGCCAAAAATTGAAAAATGGAAAAAACAAAGAACTGAAAAGTCGAGAAAACGAAAAATTGTTAAACCGAATAATCAAAAAAGAGAAGAACTGACAAATCAGTAAGTCGAAAAACAGAGTAATGGGTAAAATCAAAAAATCGAAAAATCAATTAATCAAGAAATTTAAAAATTGAAAATTTAGAAACGCCAAAAATACAAAAATTGAAATTTGAAGAATTGAAAAATTGAGAAATTGATAAATCTAAAATTTAAAAAACCGAAAAGTGAAATATCAAAAAACTGAAAAATCGACAAATCTAAAATTTTAAAAATCGAACGAAAAATCGACAAATTGAAGAATCGAAATATTGAAAAATTGAAAAACTGAAGAAATAAAATTTAAAAAACAGAAAATTTGAAAAAGTAAAAAAAAATACGCAAAACCGAAGTATTAAAAAAATCCCAAAACTGAAATACTGAAAATTTTCAAAACTGAAATATCAATTAATCAAGAAATCTCAAAATTCTGAACCGCCAAAAATTGGAAAACAGAAAATTCGAAAAACTGAAGAAATGAGAAATCGATAACTCTACAATTTTAAAAATAGAACAATTGAAGAAGTAAAACAAATCCGAAAACCGAAATATTGGAAAATTGATCAATCGAAAATTGCAAAATCGAGACATTGAAAAGTCGAAAAATCGTCAGGTCACAAATTTAAGAACCGAAAATTTTAATTTCCCGATTTTTATCTTTTTATTGTTTTAATTTTTCGTTTCTTCACTTCTTGCAAATTTTCGAATTTCCACTTTTTCCATTTAGCAATTTTTTGAATCAAAAAAATAGAAAAATTACAAAATTGTAAAAACAAAAAATGTACAAAATCGAAAATTGAAAAATCCAAGAAAGGAAAAATCGAGAAATCGAAAACTTGTCAAGTCGAAAAATAAAAAAAGAGAAGAATTGAAAAATTGAGAGGTGTCGAAAAATAGAGAAATGGGAAAAATAAAAAAATCGAAAAATCAAGTAATCAAGAAATTTAAAAATTGAAAATTTAGAAAGTCCAAAAATTTGAAGAATTGAAAAATTGAGAAGTTGATAAAATTTAAATTAAAAAACCGAAAAATAAAATATCAAAAAATTGAAAAATCGAAAAATCTAACAATCTTAATATTCTGAATTGCCAATTGAAAAACAGAAAATTTGAAAAACTGAAAAAATGAGAAATCGATAAATTTAAAATTGAAAAATTAGAAAAATTGGAAAAGTAATAAAAAAATCCCAAAACCGAAATATTGGAAAATTGATCAATCGAAAAACTGAAGAATCGAGAAGTAGAAAAGTCGAAAAATCGTCAAGTCAAAAATCGAAAAACCGATAATTTAACACTTTGAAGAATTGAAATACTCAAAAATCGAGGAATTGAGAAGACCAAAAATCGAGAAATCGGAAAATCAAAATTTAGAAACGCCAAAAATTTTTTTCTTCGTTCCTTTGTCGATGCGTTAACTTTTTTCGGTTTTGAAATTTCCCGGTTTTTAGTTTTTCAATGTTTCGTTTTTCGTTTCTTCATTTCTTCGATTTGCAATTTTTCGATTTTCCACTTTTTCCATTTAGCGATTTTTCGAATCAAAAAATAGAAAAATTGCAAAATTGTAAAAATCAAAAATGAAAAACGAAAATGTACAAAATCGAAAATACAAAAATCCAAGAAATGAAAAATCGAGAAATCGAAAACTTGTCAAGTCGAAAAATAAAAAAAGAGAAGAATTGAAAAATCGAGAGATGTTGAAAAATAGAGAAATGGTAAAAATAAAAAAATCGAAAAATCAATTAATCAAGAAATTTAAAAATTGAAAATTTAGAAAGTCCAAAAATTGAAAAATAGAAAATTTGAAGAATTGAAAAATTAAAAAAATGATAAAATTTAAATTAAACAAAACGAAAAATAAAATATCAAAAAATTGAAAAATCGAAAAATCTAACAATCTTAAAATTCTGAATTGCCAATTGAAAATCAGGAACCGAAATATTGGAAAATTGATCAATCCTGAAGAATCGAGAAGTCGAAAAGTCGAAAAATCGTCATGTCAAAAATCGAAAAACCGATAACTTAACACTTTGAAGAATTGAAATACTCAAAAATCGAGGAATTGAGAAGTCTAAAAATCGAGAAATCGGAAAATCAAAAATTTAAAAACGCCAAAAAATTGTTTTCTTCGTTCCTTTGTCGATGCATTAACTTTTTTCGATTTTGAAATTTACCGGTTTTTAGTTTTTCAATGTTTAGTTTTTTCGTTTCTTCATTTTTTCGATTTGCAATTTTTCGATTTTCCACTTTTTGCATTTTGCAATTTTTCGTTTTTCAAAAATTGGGAAAATTAAAGAATGGGAAAATCGACGTATTGCTAAATCGAGAAATTACTCATAAACCCGAATACAGGAGATAATTTAATTATAAAATGAAAAATGAATAAAGAAAGTCGAAAAATGAAAATAAAATGAGTTTTGCACAATAGTGCAAAAAATAATTACAGTCATTGGAACTTAAACTAACAAAATAATGTAATAATAATCAACTTAATTTAATTAAAACATTGAAATATCGATAAATCGAAAAGTCGAAAAACTGAAAATCTGCTAAATCGAAAATTTGAAAAACTGGAAAATCAGAAAATTGAAGAATTGAAAGACTGAAAAATCGGGACATGTAAAATTTAAAAAATCGAAATATATATTGAAAAATCCCACAACTGAAACATGGAAAAATTGAGAAATCGAAAATAAAAAATTGAAAAATCAAACACCTGAAAAATCACAAACGGGAAAATTTTGTTTAACAATTACTATGCTTCTAATAACCTTAAAACGTTTGCAAGATTTCAGAGCATTCAGCCTTGCAATTTCAAGGTTAATTTGCAAACAAATCCAGACTGGTAGACAGACGGAAACGGGAGGCCAATTTTTTCGTACTCTTGGGGCCATGAAACGTTGAGAAAACATGAAAGTAGTTGGTCGTCCGATGGACTCGAACTTAGCTTAAGTTCAGGAGGTAAAAGGAAGATACGGTACTCCCGAAGTACCGATTTGGAAATAATCAAAAAGCGATATGAATTACAGTAGTACTTACTTACAATGTGCAATACACACTGAAGAAAATAATGAACACCGAGTTACACTGCTACCGTACTACAGTAGTACTAATTTTGAAAATTACCTTTCCAGATTCTAAATGATACCACATAAACCATTATTTACCTAGACGATTCCGCAATGACTTCCTAAGCAATCCATCATTATTTTGAAATGTTAGTGGAACGCTCGCAGCAATTACCCACCACGACAACCCAACAAAAAAGACAGTGACGCACAACAGTAAACCATAATCACGTGATAATAACCACTTAAACCACTAACCTCTTTCGCACCTCCAGGCCAACGCACCGTCCGCGAACATCGCAAAACCTCAAAAAGTAACCACGTAAAAAGACACCACTTTTACCACTTGCGTCAAGCAAAAATCTCACCTCCGCGATGACGCGCCGTCAAAATTTAAAACTCACACACATTTTCCAGCGTTACGTAAGCGCGCGAAAACAGACCTCACAATTTTAACTCAAGGCAAGATCTACCATAAAATTACCATCTAGCAAGTGCGCACCTGTGAGAAAATGCAAATTCGGACGGAGTGCGCTCACTTCCGCTCGCTACCATTTTCGTTTTATCGAGTGACCGGATCCGCTGGGTCGACACTCTTTAGGAGCCCCCACTGACCATCTTGGCGGAAAGCCGGTGCCCATCTGGTGGTGGTGCTAAATGGGCGATTAAAGCGCGACTTCGCTGGGACCATTGTCGCGGGTTTATGGGTGTGACGGTCGCGGCAGATGGCGGGCTGGGAAATTCGCGGAAATGGTAAAAAGGGGGTTTTATGGTAGAGGTTTTTACTTGGCGAGTGTGATTTGTTGACCTCGAGTTTAATATACAGGGTGTGCTAAAATTTAATTGCTAGGTTTATATAAATTAAATGAAAAACTCAGGTCTAAGGTCAACACCAAAAATTAAAAAAGAAAAATGTTTGACAAATTATAATTTTTTGCGATCCAACTAACGGAAAAAATGCTTTTCGAAAAATCTAAAAACTGAAAAATCGAAATATCGAGAAATTGAGAAATCCAAAACACTTAAAAAATCGAAAATTTGAAAAATTCAAACGGTGAAAAACTAAAAAATTGAAAAATCAAAAATTTTGAAAATCGAAAAATTGAAAAGCCGACAAATCGAAATCTGAAAACTCGAAATTTCGAAAAGTCGAGCAATCGTAATATCAAAAAATGCAAACATTCCAAAAATGGAGATGAAAAAAAAATTAAGAAATCCAAAACTAGAAAAAGTGAGAAATCGGGAAATTGAAAAGTCGAAAAATGAAAAAAAAAATCACAAAACTGAAAGAATGGAAAATTGAGAAATCGGAAATATGAAATCAGACATCGAAAAACTGAAATTTGAAAATCGAAGCATCAAGAGATCGAGGAACGGAAAAGTCGGGAACTCAAAAACCGAAAAGTCGGGAAGTCGAAAAATCGAGAAATCGAAATGGCGCAAAATTTAAAAATCGAAAAATCAAAAATTGGAAAAAGTTAGAATGTAAAAAATTCGAAAATCGAAATATCGATAAATCGTGAAATCGAAATATTGAAAGATCGAAAAACTGAAACCGAAAAATTTTAAAACCAAAAAATTGAAAAATAGGAAAAATTAAAAAATTTGAAAATCCAAACACTGAAAAACTGAAAACTCAGGAAACCGAGAAATCGAGAAGTCGAAAAATTAAAATATCGATTAATCCAGAAACAGAAAAATCGAAAAATTTTTAAAATTGAAAAACCGAGTACTAAAATAGAAAAAAATCACAAAATTAAAAGATCGAAAAATTGAAAAATCGAAAATCTGAAAAATCAATAAATTGAAAAATCCAAAAAAAGAAAAGTTGAAAAATTGAAAAATCGAAACATCCAGAAATTTGAAAATCTAAAAACCGAGAAATCGAAAAATCAGACATCGAAAAACTGAAATTTGAAAATCGAAGCATCAAGAGATCGAGGAATGGAAAAGTCGGGAACTCAAAAATCGAAAAGTCGATAGGTCGAAAAATCGAGATATCGAAATGGCGCAAAATTTAAAAATCGAAAAATCAAAAATTGGAAAAATTTAGAATGTAAAAAATTTGAAAATCGAAAAATCGGGAAACTGGGCATTCCAAAAATCGAAATATCGATAAATCCTGAAATCGAAATATTGAAAGATCGAAAAACTCAAACCAAAAAATTTTAAAACCAAAAAATTGAAAAATAGAAAAAATTAAAAAATTTGAAAATCCAAACACTGAAAAACTGAAAACTCAGGAAATCGAGAAATCGAGAAGTCGAAAAATTAAAACATCGATTAATCCAGAAACAGAAAAATCGAAAAATTTTTAAAATTGAGAAATCGAAAATCTGAAAAATCAATAAATTGAAAATCCCAAAAAAGAAATGTCTAAAAATTGAAAAATCGAAACATCCAGAAATTTGAAAATCTAAAAACCGAGAAATCGAAAAATCAGACATCGAAAAACTGAAATTTGAAAATCGAAGTATCAAGAGATCGAGGAATGGAAAAGTCGGGAACTCAAAAACCGAAAAGTCGATAGGTCGAAAAATCGAGATATCGAAATGGCGCAAAATTTAAAACTCGAAAAATCAAAAATTGGAAAAATTTAGAATGTAAAAAATTCGAAAATCGAAAAATCGGGAAACTGGGCATTCCAAAAATCGAAATATCGATAAATCCTGAAATCGAAATATTGAAAGATCGAAAAACTGAAACCGAAAAATTTTAAAACCAAAAAATTGAAAAATCGGAAAAACTAAAAATTTGAAAATCCAAACACTGAAAAACTGAAAACTCAGGAAATCGAGAAATCGAGAAGTCGAAAAATTAAAACATCGATTAATCCAGAAACAGAAAAATCGAAAAATTTTTAAAATTGAAAAACCGAGTACTAAAATAGAAAAAAAGCACAAAATTGAAAGATCGAAAAATTGAGAAATCGAAAATCTGAAAAATCAATAAATTGAAAAATCCCAAAAAAGAAATGTCGAAAAATTGAAAAATCGAAACATCCAGAAATTTGAAAATCTAAAAACCGAGAAATCGAAAAATCAGACATCGAAAAACTGAAATTTGAAAATCGAAGTATCAAGAGATCGAGGAATGGAAAAGTCGGGAACTCAAAAACCGAAAAGTCGGGAAGTCGAAAAATCGAGAAATCGAAATGGCGCAAAATTTAAAAATCGAAAAATTAAAAATTGGAAAAAGTTAGATTGTAAAAAATTCGAAAATCGAAAAATCGGGAAATTGGGCATTCCAAAAATCGAAATATCGATAAATCCTGAAATCGAAATATTGAAGGATCGAAAAACTGAAATCGAAAAATTTTAAAACCAAAAAATTGAAAAATCGGAAAAATTAAAAAATTTGAAAATCCAAACACTGAAAAACTGAAAACTCAGGAAATCGAGAAATCGAGAAGTCGAAAAATTAAAACATCGATTAATCCAGAAACAGAAAAATCGAAAAATTTTTAAAATTGAAAAACCGAGTACTAAAATAGAAAAAAATCACAAAATTGAAAGATCGAAAAAGTGAGAAATCGAAAATCTGAAAAATCAAAAAATTGAAAAATCCCAAAGGAAATGTCGAAACATTGGGAAATCGAAAAATTGAAAAATCAGAACATCGTACAACTGAAAAATCAAAAAAATCCGAGAAATCGAAAAATCAAACATCGAAAAATTAAAACATCGAGAAATCGAAAAGTGGGGAAGTCGAAAAATGAAGAAATCGAAAAATTGAAAATAGGAAAATTTAAACGTAAAAATATCAAAAAAAATAAAAATCGAAAAATTTAAAAACCGAAAGATCCAAATCTGAGAAGTCGAATAATCGAAAAATTGAAAAAATCAAAAACCCGAAAAAGTCAAGCATTGAAAAAGTGAAAAAACCAAAAGTCGATAAAACGAAACATTGAAAAGTCGACAAATTAAGATATGAAAAAATCGAAAATCGATTAATCGAGAAATTGAAAGAAGTAGTTGCCAAAAATGCAATCACGATATCTAGAACGGATGCAAAAGATAAGATAAAAAATCCACCTGTTAATCAGTTTTGTAGAAAAGTGTTGACAAAAAGTTTCTAGAAATAATACATATTTGTACAAAGTGATAAAAAGAAAAAGTACAATCGAGAAGATAGTGAAATTATGTAATACCAAAAACAAATATATCCCGGTTACTCACACATGACGCGTAACAACGGGGATTACTACATTACTGTCAGTCCGTATAATAAGATGATTATTTTACGCCCCGCCACATAAATAATTGCTAGGCAAACACAAACTTATAAATATACACGTGCGTAACCGACATTAGCACCTAATTAGAATAAATATTTTCGCTATCGTGCTTACATTCACTACTTTTGTGAATTTTCAAACCAAACACTCCGATTTCCCGTCAAAAAAAAAACACGTATGTGAAAAATGACGCAATCCACATGAAAGTAGCCCCATTAAATCAGAAAAATTATGAATCGGTTAAAAAAAGCAAATTATCGATAACTTTAATATTATCACACACCTTTCGCTAAAATTTCGATAAGGACGAAAACACATCTTGACCTAAAGTGAAACGTAGCCCCGAGGCTAGAAACGCTTTCCGGACTTTTACAAAGAAATTAATAGCTCAGGAGAAAGTTGCTACTAACTGTACGGAATGGGTCCATAGACCATCGGAAGATCCGCGATGGTGTGTCTGTGCAAGGCCGTTTGCTGCCTCCGGGCCGCCAGTTCGGGTGCCTTCCTGCGAAAATTCACTCCCGTGGCCATGATTCTCACTCACTGGCACTGATAAGATGGTGCACCTTATCGGCGATAGCGCGATCGATTGGAGGCATTGTCATGGCACTAAGTGGTTCAAAGAACCGCAAAATGACGAGGACGGAATGCAAATACCGCGATGTGGTACCCCACCTACGATCGGTGATAACAGATTATGTAAACTAAGTTTGCTTGATTCTTTGGCAAGGACGCAACCTAACCTAATTCTAGACTGTACCTGGTTGCAGGTTTCTTACTCCGTGTTGACCCTTGGGCGGCGGCAATGGAGGCTCTGGTTCTACGTAACATGGCAACATGAGCATGACAAGAACAAATGGTCCATTGAGACCACACTCACTCTCAATTAACTAAATATATGGTGAAGCATGAGCATGCGGAAGCATTTGAACTATACCAAAAAAATTGGTTGAAGGTTGTTTTGACAGAACTTCCCTCGTCCCTGAAGTGTAGCCTAACGAGTCCCGCTTTTTGGAAAAGTTACAAAAATTGTTTGCGATTTTTTGTTTCTTCAGAAAAATTGAAAAGTTGGAAGTCGAGAAATTAAAAAATGAAAGAAAATGAAAAAACGAAAAATAAAACAACGATTTTTCGAAAAATTATAAGATTTGATTTTGAGAATTTTATTTTTTTATAATAACTCTTGTAAGTTAAAATAATAATTAAAAATCGCTCTTCTACTAAAAAATTTTGTGATGACGTCATCAACGTATATCAATTTGGATAGATGTAGCGTACTACTAATAATACGATTACGGTAACCTCAAAACGACCTAGACGTCAGACAGACAGACAGACATACTGACGGAAAAAAATTGGTGCCCGGCTACACTATGAGTGTTCCTTAATTTAAATACAACACCTTTAAACGAAACTGAGGGTCTGGTATGTGTGGAAGTCCACCACGATTTGTACCTTTGTGGGTCATGGTGGTACCGACTCTTCTCTTCCTTCTTGTCGTCAGCGCCGGCTTTGAGAATCGAGGACTTTTTGGGGGTGGGGGAGGCGGATTTGGGGCGGGGACGGAGGCGGAGTTCGCGGGACGACGTCTCGGGCGAGGACAACGACCGCGCGTTGTCCTCGCACCTGGGGTACCGATGCGCAATCCACGACGCCGCCAAATACGGCGCTATATCCCTCAACTCCCTTATATTCGGCGACGACGTAAACATGTGTCCCAATAACGAAATCTTACTATCAAACTTCTGTCTCAACTTCTCAACTTCGCCCACCGGACAGCCCAAAATCTTCGCCAAATCTTCCACACTCTGCGTCTTTTCCTCGGGAGTTTGCTTCCTGGCGTACAAGTTCGCGATTTTACTGATGATGTTAATGTGGGGCATGAATCTGTCTTCAGCGCGTAGAAACGTCGGGGAAACCACTCCGCCCCGACGATAGCGACTGCGCCCTCGCCCGGCGTGCGCCGGGTATTCGTACTTACTCCGCAACAACTCCACCCCCGGGACGCTCATTTGGGAGTACTTGTACAGGTTGGAGTCACTCCGACAACGTCGGGTCAGCTTCGAAGGATACATAGTGTGGAAGTCCTCGAACTTGGTCTTCAAACGACGGACTTCACCCGTTTTGACTAAAGCGAGCTCGTCGGAGTAGGGCGAAAGGCTGCGACTTCGGTAGAAGCTATCATTGCTGGTAGTTTCGGAAATCGGGGGGCTGGGGATTCTCATCAAGTGGGGGCGTTCGGGAGAAGTGTAGGCCTCTTTACGGGTGGCGGAAAGTGGTACTGTGGCAAACTTCATGAGTTCTTGCTCCCCGAAGAGCTCCTTCAGATCTTGGTACGACTGAGATGTGATGGAGCGGCGTTTGAAGGGGGACGAAGTGTCGTCAAAGGGGGTTTCCGCAGGTTTGTAGATAGTAGGTGAGAACTTTTCCTGTTCTGCGACGTTCTCAAAGTACTCGACCTTTTTCTTGATTTCGTCTTTGACGTGGATCACCGTCTTGGTGGACTCGTCGGTGCTCTCGGTCTCACTAGCTGATGGAAGTTTGGGATTGGTCACGTCGGTTTTGACAAGAGCTGGACTGGGTTCTTCCACTGTTAACCCTTTGGGTACTTTTGGTAGTTCCGACGACTTCGACATTGAATCCAGAGCGCTAGTGGCGGCTATCGCCCCTCGAGTTTCTTTACCTAGTACGACATGAAGAGTGTCAAACGTTCTGTGTTTAACTCGATCTAGAACCTCCTTACTAATACTGTGTGAGAGTACCTTCTTTTCACTCTCGGAGAGGATCTGTGGAGGCTTTTGGTACTCGGACGTGTCAGAGTTCCTTCGAACCGTCAAACTCGTCTCAAACTTGTCGTCCGGAACGTGAATCGTGTAGTCTTTTTTCTTGGCCACATTTTGACTATAAATTTCAGACAATTGGTTCTTTAAAATGTTGACCTGCTCACTTGACAAGCTACTCCAGAGACGGCTCCCGATTCCATGGGTTAGCATGCGTTCCGAGTCGATTAACTTCTGTTTCGAGCTAACCCGCCCCTCAGACTGTGACCTCCGCTCCACCATTTTGTTCGCCAAGCTTAGTACCGAGTCGCCTCTCCATAAAGGTTTGTAAGTGTCCAGGTCCCTCCGTCTCACGTTCTCTCTGTCCGACTCTTCTTGTTTTAATCGTTCAAACTCTTCCTTGATATTGTCGACGGACTTCTCCTTGACTCGGAGCCCTCTGTCGTACTCCTTTTTCCAACGATAAGCATCTACTTCTTTGGGACAAAACAAGAACCCTTTTTCTTTGGCGTCGTGCTTGAGTTGACCAATTAGAGTTTGTAGTTCTTTCTCGGCACGCTCTCTGGTCCGAACTTCCCGCCACCTATCATAGTCAATAATTTCGTCTTCGAAGCGTCCTCTAGGCTTCAAGGTGTGACTCGACGTGGTCTGTTCCAACTGCCCGAACTTCTCTATAGCCGAGTAGAAGTCGTTCAAGTCCTTAAATCTACTACTCTTGGTTGTGGAGCGCAGCAGCTCTTTAACGTAGTTTTGGTACTCCTTCCGGTCGTACGAATCTATTGAACTCGTACTATGGCAGATACTAGGACAGGTGTAGATGGAGACTTGGTTCTTCGGGCTTTCGCTCCGCTCGCTGATGGTGGGTTGACTCCTCATTTGCATGATCCGTCGTGACGATGGTGACCGTACCATGGGTGAAGACGGGGGAGTGGGGGACCTCACCCTTCGTTCCACCCGGGGTGACACAGGCCGACTAGTCTGCGAAAAAATTAGCTTTGGAGGAAGACTCGAACTCCGTTTTTCAAAATGGTGCGGACTGTCCCAGGTTACCGACTTAGGGCTCGCGGAGCGCGACCTCGCCAAGTCCAAGCTCCTGAACTTCGAATCGGTCACAGGTTTCGTGTGTCTTAGGTACACCTTCATAGCGCTAATCGTAGGTTCGGAAGTCGATGACCTCCGTTTTTGCAACTGGTAGGTTTTTTCCAGCAACCAGGAGCTACGACTCGCTAGAGAGGGCGTCGGCGATGGTAAGTCCCGAAGGAACAAGTGCTGAAAAAAATAGTCAGTCTGGATGGCTTCTCTTTGACGCTTGATGTCAGTCAGAGCGTCAAAATCGTCCTTCATTTCGCGTAGTTTCTTGACGATGGAGGTACCAGCCGCACGACCGGCGCACTTCGCCGGTACCACTTCCTTCCCCTTTTTTTCTTTCTTAGCAATTTCTCCATTGATCTCTTCTTTCTTGGATTTTTTCACGTTCGTGACGGTCTTGGGTTTCGGGGGTTTGGTTACCTTCGCGATTTTTCCCACGGTGGAAATCACCTTCTTGGTACTAGTGGGCGACTTAAGCGACTCTAGCGAGATCTTGTGTTTGGGTTTGTCGCTTGGAATGGGCGACAACGACTTGGTTCGCTTTTGGATGGTACTTTTCAAGAGAGATTTACCTTTTTCGCTAATCCCGACTTTGATTGGTAGTACCGCCGGACTGTCGCCGTTCTTCGCCAATAAGGCCGTCGACTTCTTGTAAATGGTACCCGAAGGGAGACTCCGTTCGGCTTTCTTCACCTCATTCGGGGACACCAAATCCGGCGAACTGAGAATCGCTGCCCGTTTTTCGGGCTTAATTTTCGGCAAAACTAAGTCGAATTTGCGTTTCTCGGTACCGAAGGTTTTTGTCACGGGTTCGCTCTTCGGAGGGCACTTTTTGCACGGTTTTCTGGTGATGTTGGTACGACTTTGGATGCGGCTGGTGGAGGTTTTGGGGTCTTTGGTGGTGGTGAGGGTGGACACTATTTTGGAGCGGAGCTCGGGAGAGGCGCTCACTACTTTGGATACTCTCAGTTTGGGTTTGGTGCCGTCTTTGGTGCGCACTGGTGATAGTTTGCAGGTGATTTTGTCCCTCAGGTACTTCACGTTGGTGTTGTCTATGTTCGACGTGGTGGTGAAACACGTCTCGTGTCGCTTACAAATCGGCGACTTTTCACTCTTGACTTTCATGGTGGAGATGAGGCGTAAGGTGGAGTTGTTCCTCGAGGAGCGTCTTCTAGGGGGTGATGGAGGTGGTTTTACGGCGGAAGGGGCCGATCGTTTGTGGTGAGCGAACAGTGTGGAAGGATCTGGGTGTATGGTTACGGGGTAACAGAAAATTTCTCTTTGTGGTTTGACGGTTTTGTGTATGCGTATGCGTGTCAGAGTTGGCGATATGGGAAAGTACTCCAACTCGGGTTCTTCTGTGGAAAATCTTCACGATTAGAGTAGTCGGATTTGTGGGGAGATGTGCGCGGAAACTAGAGTGTGTGTAGTGTAGAGTAGATAGTTCAAACACTTTGGAATGACGATGACCTTACCAACACCTGGTTAATGTCTTTGAGTACATGCAGCACCATTACCTCGTTAGTACTGTTTAGAGAAGGACCCACTTGTGTAAAAAACTCGACTCACCTTTGGGTCGCTCGGGGGCGGGCTTGCGTAGGCCGTACAGAGGGATGTCGCCGCCCTTCTGGATTGTCTTGTACGCTTCTTTTTGCTCGGAAGGGCTCAACTGTTGGGCTGTGTCGTCCCGTCGACGGAACACCAAAGTCGAGTCGCTTTCGTAGCCGGATTCTTTGAGAGCTCTGTAAGAATTGGTCATGACGGAGAAGAATTAAGACGACAGAAATGGGTACTCACTGGTTGATGAAGCTCTTGGTCTGAGGGACACGCTTTTGCTGCTCCAGGTGCTAAAACCAAAACAATTAGTATCTAGAATTACAGAAACCTCGGCATGCACATGCATCATGCGTAAACTGTGTATTTAATGTTTGTGTTTGATCCTTACAGACTTGGCTAAGGCTCTGGAGAACATATAGTCATAGCTTGGTAGTGCCGAATTGTCGTCCAACCACTATGTCGTGTTAAAAATGCTATGTTAGTCACAACCCAACACCAACATGAAGAAAATTAAAAGAAATGCTTGACGGGAAATCGAGTCCCGTCAAACACTTCCCGTGTTAAAGTGATCTAGACAAAAAGTTGTAATCAAAAAAATATCCTACCCCGTCGAATATGTCCATCACTTCGTCCCACCACTAAAAATGGAAAACATTTTAGTAACAATGCGTCTACAAGCAAAATCTGGTAATTGGTTTGTGATTGTCATGCGTTACACATTTTAACCATTGATGCAAGCTCGGGCTACCACGAGATTCTCGGAGTAGCTTAATCCATGGTCGGGCTTACCTCTTTGGCTTCTTTTTCCGAAATCGACGAATGTCCGGGAATGTAGTTTTCGATGCGACCGGGTTGGTTCTTGTAGGGGTCGTGGCCGTGCTTGACCACACTCGAGCCGACCCTGCAACCACACTTGTATTTTTGGATTTTAATCCAGGGTAGGACTCACTTTTCTGTACTGCGGGGCATCGTGGAAGACACGTAGTCGTTCTCTTTGTCTCGGGTAACACGTCTTCGGTCCAAAGTGGCGTACTTGTAGTCGAAGTCGCTGTCGTAGGCCCCGGGCTCCGGCTCGGATAAGTAGCCCGAAGTGTAGGGGTACTGGCCTAAATAAATAAATCGGACACAATCAGATTTCGAAGCACGACTAAGACGGAATGGAAATGAGTCGGTGTTATCTTATCGGTGGAAGGGGCAGCGAAGGCCAGAAATTAACTATTTACGTGTGATGCGCGAAGTACCAAGGTCGTACTTTTCGGAAACTTTGTGTATAAGTGGTACCAGTTATATAATTTGTGAATGATATGTGGAACACTACACTAATAAAGATACAGTACCTCTCCGCTGTTTGTATCTGACGGTAACATATTCATCTGTAAACAGATAAACAATAAACAGTGTTAATAGCCACAAAACAAACTCACCTCGATGTGGTCTCTGTTTGTGTATAGTGTCGTACATTTTCTTGTACCATTTCGACTGATTGGCGTCCTTCACCTCCTGTTCCATCGCGTAAAATCACGTTATCGCATCAGATAAATACTTAGATAATAGTCGAACCTTACCGATCTCAGTATCAGAGGCATTCCGTCCTTGGTGGTCGGCCCGATCCCTTCGTACTTCCGCGCTCCCAAATCGGCCATTTTCCGCGCCTTTTCGCTGTCGGATTCGCTGGTGTACTCGTTTTTGATTTTGTACACTAAAAAAAAACAAACAAAAATGATGGGTGTCCCATGCAACAGATACACCTACATATCTCCCCTGGTCCTACGAAGGGCGGTCTGTCATTCTGCGGCCTCTTGAAAGTTTGGTCTTGCTCTATGTACAGGGCGCCCTTAGGCAGCTGACCCTCTGCAACAAAAGTGGAAAGTCTTATCTTAGGGTTTTACGGTCGTTCGAGGCAAAAATTTTGTTTTATCGGGTTGCAGCATCTGCGACGACGGTGCTTCGGTTTTATCGTTGTTCTACGAGATAAAATATGAAGTTGTTTTTCAGCGACGCGGAAATAATCGGATGTTTGCTTTAATAAGTTAATCCTTTTGGGTCGTAAATTTGGGGATTTGGAGGGAGACGTTTATTGCTTGTTACCGGGAGGGGTATTTATTCCCGGAGATGTTTAGATCAAAATAGAAGACACTGGTTCGTCGTATTGACCTCTAGAATACGAAAATATAGGTCTCTCATTTCCGGTTTTCTGTCCGCGTCTGTGTCGTTTTATATTTGACAGATAATCTTCTAAAGTACCGGACCGATTGTTGTCGAGTTTTTACCTTAGGCACCCAGATTTTTTCAATTTTACGATTTTAAATTTTTGTCATTTATTGGATTTAAAATTTTGTTCACCTATTCGATTTGACAATTTTTCGATTTTACAATATTTGGGTTTTCCAATTTTTCGATTTCTTCTTTTTAAATTTTCGATTCATTAACTTTTTTCGATTTTTAAGTTTCTCGATTTTTATTTTTGCAACGTTTCATTTTCGTTCTTGGATTTGCAATTTTTTGATTTTCCACTTTTTCGATTTTGCACCTTTTCGATTTAAAATGTCGAGTTTTCAATTATTTAATTCTTTAATTTTCGATTTGTAACTTTTTGCCTCGGTTTTTTATTTTATTTATTTTTACACTTTTTAATTTTTTTCAATTTTTCGTTATTCACTGGTTTTATAACTTTTTTTTCAATGTGAATTTTTTTACATACGCATTTCGATTTGCAATTTTTTGGTTTTTAATTTTTCGATTTTTCAACTTTTAGACCCGGTTTACAAAAGCTCAATTAAATATTTGATTGCGATTAAATTTTTAAACCTGCGTTAGATTACCACGTGATCAACCCTACGCCAATCAGACGTCGCTAAATGCCTTGTTAAATAAAAGTTAACTTATTCTCAGTTAATATTACACACTGGTCCTTAGATTGTTTAATTAATTTTTTTTAGTGTTAGATTTTTCAGTTTATCGATTTTTCAAATTTTTGTTTCTTCAGTTTTTCCTGTTTTCATTTTAAATATGTAATAATAATTAGGAGTATAATTTAAAATTTTTTTCACTTTTTCAAGTTTGCGATTTTAGATTTTTGTCATTTTTCAATTATTGGATTTTAAATTTTTTTCATTTATTCGATTTAACAATTTTTCGATTTCCCAGTTTTTCGATTCGTTCGTTTTCTCTTCTTTTTAAATTTTCGATTCATTAATTTTTTCCAATTTTTAAGTTTCTCGATTTTTATTTATGCAACTTTCAGTGTTTCGTTTCTTCTGTGCTTGGATTTGCAATGTTTTAATTTTCGACTTTTCGATTTTGCAATTTTTCGTTTTTTCAGTTTTTCGATTTTCCAATTTTTACGATTTTTTAGTTTTTCGGTATTTATTTTACTTATTTTTCGTTTTTCATTGTTCTGATTTTATATATTTTTTTTTAATTTTTCAATTTTCAATTTTTGATTTTCCATTTTTTGGATTTTGCAATTTTTCCGATTTTTTAGTTTTTCGGTTTTTATTTTTCGAAATAAAATAATAAAAAATTGAAAAATACAAACTGAAAAAACCAAAAAATATAAACCGAAAATTGAAAAGTCGAAAGAATAAAAATTGAGAAACTTAAAAATCAAAATAGTACAAAATCGAAAAACCGAAATATGTATTGTAAAATCGAAATTTTGGAAATTAAAGAAAAATGTAAAAATTGAAAAACGGAGGAATAATGGGAGGAATCGAGAAATCAGAGATTGAAAATTTGAAAAATTGAAAAAATAAAGGATATAAAAAACGAAAAATGGTGGTATGAAATCCCGAAAATGGAAACTAAGAAATCGGGAAAGTGAAAAATAAAACTCCAAAATTAGAAAAATTGCGGAAACGAAAAATTCTAATCGAAAAATTGACAAATTGAAAACAAAAGTAATAAAATCGAAAAATCTAAAGATTGAGAAAACAAACCACTGAATAATCTAAAATTTAAAAATTGGAAAAAAGAAAAATCGGGGAAATGAAAAAATGAAACATCAAAAATCGAAAAATTGAAAAACGATACATCGAAACTTCAAAATATCGAAAATTCTAAACTTCGAAAAATCGAAAAATTGAAAAAGAGAAAAAGTTAAAACCGAAAAATTGAAAAATTGAATAATCGAAATAGTGCACGAAAAATCCCAAAACTGAAATATTGAAAAATTCGAAAATCCAAAGTCGAAAAATCGAAAAACCGAAAATTAAAAAAATTGAGATAAACATTTGTAGAAAAATCGAAAAATTGAAAAATTGCAATAACTGACAAATTGAGAAACCGAAAAGTCGAAAAATTGGAAGCGGGAAAATAAAAAATCGAGAAATCTAAAAGTCAAATTGTAAAACTGAAAAATCAAAAATGATAAAATGTATAAAATGAAAACTTGAAGACTTGAAGCAACGAAACATTCCAAAAACGAAAGATTAAAATTGAGAAACTTAAAAATCGAAAAAACGAATTCTGTATTGTAAATTGAAATATTGAAAATTAATGAAACCGGAAAATCGTGTAACTAGAAATTCAAAAATTGCAAATTTGAAACATTTAAAAAGCAGACATGCAAGGAACTGGGAAAATGATAAAATCGAAAGAAACATTGAATAAATAAAGGAAATGAAAAAACGAAAAATTGTGATAAAATTCAGAAAATGAAAATTAAAAATCAAGAACTTGAAAAACTGAGGAAATGAAAAAATGAAAAATCGAAAAATTAAAATTGTAATATCGAAAAATTGCATTTTCCATTTTTTCGATTTTGCAATTTTTTAGTTTTTCAGTTTTTAATTTTTAGATTTTTCGATTTTTCAGCTATTCGAATCAAAAAATAGAAAAATTGAAAAATCAAAAATGAAAACACCAAAAAACAAACTGAAAATTGATAAATTGAAAAATTAAAAATTAAGAAACTTAAAAATCGAAATAGTGCAAATTCGAAAAAACGAAATACTCTAAAATCGAAATATTGACAACTAAAAAAATCGGAAATCAGATAAAAGACTAAAAGTTACAAAATTAAAAAACTGAAAAACTGGAAAATCGAGGAATTGGAAAATCAAATTTGAAAAACTGAAAATTTCAAAAATGGAATAAACAAAAAATGATAAACTCGAAAGGATTATGGTATGTATAAAATCGAGAAAATGAAAATAAAAAAAAAATGAGAAAATGAAAATTAAAAAAATCGAGAAAATAAAAAACAAAAACCAAGAACTTGAAGAATTAAGGAAATGGAAAATTAAAAAATCGAAAAATTAAAAATTCAGAAACTGAAAAATCGCAAAATTGTAATATCGAAAAATTGAAGAAACGAAAAATTATGGAACCGAAACACTGAAAAATGGAAAAATTGAAAAATGAAAGGGTGATAAAACGAAAAATTATCAAAATAGTGGTCGAAGATTTAGGTTTAGAGCTCGAAAAATGATTCTTAATGACTTTCACATTATATTACTGACCGGAGGTCAAAAAATATTGCTGGGCAAGTTTGCATATGGAAGTAGAAAAATTTGTGAAAAAGCGTGACGACTGTCAAAGGTATGAGCATTCAGTTATTATGACCCATCGGGGCAATGAATTTTGTAAAAAAAATGAGATTTTTACCCCTATCGTGACAGTACCTCTGGCTTTCTGCAGGAGCGTTATGGTCGGATTCTGAGCCTTCGGCAGCCTCGTCGTGGGAAAATCATTAAACCCACAAGCCGGCGACGAATGACTCGTTGGAAGACGCTTTTCTAGGGTAGATGAGAGAACAACTCCGGTGTCGCTACTGGTTTCCGGTACCTTCCAAGGTGGTTCCTTGGACGCGTCACTCGAATCCCCGTCCTGCAACTCCCATTCAGACCACAACTACCCCAAATTGTCCCCTCACCTCAACCCTGCTACTTTTCCTACTCAAAACCGGCGACTCGAACTTGACGGGCCGAAACTCCTTACGTTCCACCGTGGGACTCGAAGTGGCACTTTTGGGAGTCCACACCGGCGAAAGTGGCTCATTTTTGACCTCACTCTGGGACCTCCGCGGCTCCTCGGGCCTCGGTTCCTGTTTTTGCCCAGGTGACCACACACCTGCGAGCAACATTAAAATTAGACACGTGTGAGCACGAATGAAACTTAATTGGTTGATTGACGTAGAGGCAAAATCGTCATTGACGAGGCCTTGATGGCCCGTTAGTGTAATTTGAATTCGTTGTGGTAATGGACGTGTGGGAGGCAGTAGGGAGTGCGGGAAAAAATTTTTCCTGCCGCTCCATAGAGTCGATGAAGCGGACCATTTGGCTGATACTCCCACTACTAATTATAAACACGGTGACTCACTCCGACAGGTAAAAATAGAAGCGTTTGAGCCACAATTACGGAGCTAATTATCTCCATTATAAACAACATGTGGACGAATCTGGTGGACTTTCCGCTAATTACGAAACACCAGATGACGATTTTTGTTGGGGCCTCGTTCGTTTCTAAATAGGGTTGCTGGACTTGAAAATCGAAACACAACCAAACATTTCGATTTTTTTACTCGTACTCTGTTCCGCTTATATCATGATGTAAGTGCCGCTTCCGCTGTTGTGCAAGTCCATTTTTAATTTGACCGAAAATAACTGCGCTTCTGTTTTTCGTCGTCTGTTGCCAACTCGCTGGAAATGAACGAACTTCGTTTTTAATGTTTAATTGAGAAATTCGGGGATTACGGACTTTTAAGTGTTGCCTACCTGGGAATCGAGTAATTAATTTTAAAATTAGCAGAATTGCGAAACCGGGATGTCGTTCGTTATCGTTTCAGCACTTCGAGACATTTGTGGCCGGGAGGTGGGAATGGAGGCTGGAAATAGAGGCAATTATGAAATTTGATATTTGATGGATTCGGCGGTCCAGATGTGGAAGAGTGGCTTTAAAGGGAGAAAAATGGAAGCATTGTGGCGAAAATGCGAAAAATTGGGATTATTTGGAGGTCGTTGCCATTTATGGCAAGTGGTTGCCATTCAGCATCACGTGGAGATGCTCCAGATGGTTAAATGGCAACTATAAAAACACAACATTAAATTTTAAGTCACTAATAAAAGAAATAAAAACGGAAAAAAAGTATAAGTGTGTCTGCAACCACCGGACATGTTTTTAAATGGCAACATCTCAGTGAGCACAAAAGTTGCCACTTGCTCTACCCGTCTAAACGTATTTATTGTGGCACCGACAACAAAACGTGACAAAACCCAAATAACACCGAAATCTCCCACAACAAGCAACATAAATTCAAAAATAAACCCAATTGAGCGGCCACTCGACTTATTTAAAGTAACTTTGATCAGCTTTAAAACCTTGACTTTCCCGACCTATTTTTAAATGATCAACAAATTAGCCAAACACTTCCCTTACACCAGGTCCAATAATTCAATCGGGCCACAACAGCCGGTGAATAATAATGTCTCTCAATGAAATATTAAGGGCGAAAATTTATTACAAGAAACTCCATTAGAGGCCTCCAGTCTTAAGCTATCACAGCAGGATTTCATTGTCTACCATAATTTATAGCCCCACTTCCGGAACAACAACAAGCGGGAAAAATGGGACATCGGCGCCGTCCGCGAAAAGCGACCTTACGCGCACGTACCATAAGGGCCGCACTCTACAGTTAATAACGGGTGAACTCGGTCTTACGCGCACGTGACACAAGGGCCACGCAAGTACGTACTTGGGGTGGACGCCGTGGCCTTGAAGGTGGGCGCCGGGGCGATCATGTCTCGATGGGTTCGCTAATGGTCGGTTCACACTACATGGCACTGCGGCACGGCACACGTGCTCTGGCACGGAGTCGACGAGGCTGACTGCACGACGACGTCTTGGCACCGCGACGCCGACAACCACCAGTAGCGCGTCGGGACGCCGAAACGGATTTAGATCTCGCACTGACCGACTAAATTTGACGAATCGATTTGGGTATGTTTATTTGACGTTTTGATGGACGTGTTGCGATTAATCAGCGGATGTGTTGACGGGGTGGGCCGGGGGCGGGAGCGGGCGGCGTGCGAATTAATGGTTTACGCAACGATGCAATGATTTTACGCGTTTTTTTTAATGTAAATGTGTAACGGATAATGAAATTCAGGTCAGAAATCGGTTAGATCTGGTCAGGTCAGAAAAATTTAAGTCAGGAGGTTAAATTAGGCCAGGAAAAGTTCGGATCAGGAAACATTCAGTTCAGGGATTTATTAGGTCAGGAAATGGTCAGGTCTAGTCAGGCCAGGTTAGAAAAAGGTCAGTCAGGAAAAATTCAGTTGAGGTCAGGGCAGGAAATGGTCAGGTATGGTCAAGTGAGCTATGTCTGGTCAGGTCAGTTCAGGGAAAGATCAGATCAGGAAAAATTCAGGTCAAGAAACGATCAGGTCTGGGAAGGATAATTCAAGTCAGACTATATAGGTCAAGTCAGATCAGGATAGATCATCGTACGTGCCGTTAGCTCAAGAGATTTTGGGTTAGAAGTTAACTAAAATCATTTCAAGTCAAGTCAGCTCAGGAAATGGTCAGAACAAGTCAGGTCAGGGAAACGAACATTAGGAAAAAGTCAGAGCAGGAATATTTCAGTTCAGGAAGCGGTTAGATCTGACCAGGCCAGAAAATGGTCAGCTCTGATCAAGTGAGACCAACCTAGACTAGCTCAGGAAAAGGTCAGCTCAGGCTGTAATACCTCAAGTTAGATAAGAACTGGTCATCTGTGTGTCCTCAGATCAAGTGATTTCAGATTTCATTCATATCAAGTCAGGTCAGGTCAAGTCACATTAATTGTTTTTTGGTTTTATATGGCCTGAAATGCAAAAATTGGAAGAAAAAAATGTTTCACGATATTTTAGTTTAAATTAAAAAATTGGTCTAAAGAGTTTAGACAGTACTTCCCTCGCTGTCGGAAACTTGACGACTGCATGCCTATTGTGTTTTTTTTCTCATTACATTTTTGTAGTGGGAATTTAAAAAAAAATTGCGATGACGTCATCAACATTTTTGCAAGGACACGTATATCAGTTGGGATAGATGTAGTGTAATACTAAGAATAAAATTATTATATTCTCAAATTTTCGGGAAAATGAATTGGGTCGTTTTGAATATTGATTTGTAATAATCAATAAAATAACGAAACAATTTACTCAAGTATACGGCAACTGAAAATCGTTTATGTATAAACATTCTTAATTTAAGATGACAGGCGTAACAGCATACGTGAGAGTCAAACAGATAAACTGTAAACAAAACGACCATCGGTTTTATTGCTTCGACTTCCGCTTATTTTATAAAACATTGGGTTTTATTTTAATTCTTGACGGTGAAATTCACAATTGGTTGATTACAAACATGTCTATTACACATTCGCGGAACCAAGTGAACGCATAAAACAAATGCAGGTCTGTAATGTTAAAGTCGATGTAAATAAGCGTGCTACCCTTATGTTTCAACCGAGTTTTTCCTTTAACAAATTTTGTGTCTACCAAATTGGGTTAGTTGGGGTGTAATACTAATAATAAGTGTTGCCTTTAATTTAATCAATAAAATAAATTGACTTCATTACTTTTTTTGAACCACCTCTTAAGAAAATCTAAAAAATATGAATGGAATGATAAATCACAAGTACAAACTCATAATATCTTTTGCATTTTAGATAGGATTTATTCAGCAAAATTTAAGGGTGACGTCATCAATTTTTTTAGGAGGGATGAACAAATATATTTTGAACAAAAGTTTACCATGCTTATAATAACTTTAAAATATTCCCAAGATTTCAAAGCATTCGGTTTTGTAATTCCTGATTAAATCGATAAAATAAATTCACGCCTTCATTAATTTTTTTGAGTCACCCTGCATATGCAAATCCAAAAATTTGAATGGAATGATAAATCACAAGTACAGACTCATCATATTTTGTACATTTTAGATACGATTTATTCGGCAAACTTTTGAGCTGACGTCATCAGTTTTTTGTAGAAGATAACCAAATATATTTTGACTAAAAATTTATTATGCTCTTTATAACCTTAAAACATCTGCAAGATTTCAAAGCATTCGGTTTTGTAGTTCCTGATTAAATCAATAAAATAAATTTACGCATTCATTCATTTTTTTGAGTCATCCTGTATATGCAAATCGAAAAAATTTGAATGAAATGATAAATCACAAGAAGAGACTCACCATATTTTGTACATTTTAGATAGGATTTATTCAGCAAAATTTTGTGGTGACGTCATAAATTTTTTAGGGGGGACGACCAAATACGTTTTGATCAAAAATTTACCATGCTTATGATAATTTTAAAATATCTTCAAGATTTCGAAGCATTCGGTTTTGTAGTTCCTGAGTAAATCAGTACAATAAATTTACGCTTTCATTTATTTTCTTGAATCACCCTGTATATGCAAATCCAAAAAATATGAATGGAGTGATAGATCACAAGTACAGACTCATCATATTTTGTACATTTTAGATATGATTTATTCCACAAAGTTTTGAGCTGACGTCATCAAGTTTTTGGAGGGGATAAGCAAATATTTTTTGACTAAAGATTTATGATGCTCTTTATAGCCTTAAAACATCTGCAACATTTCAAAGCATTCTGGTTAGCAGATTAAAAATTAAATTTCAAAATGTTGTTTTATAATTTTGATTTTTTTTCCAAAAATCTGGACGTTTCGGGAAAAGTCGATTCAGAGTTGTAAACTACATGTGTAGGACTATGTTATTTTATACAATTGAAAACCCATTTACTATGTACAATTTTGAAGTGACGTCATCGCATTAGTGGTGGGGATGATTAGACAAATTTTGGTTAGCGTTTTACCATCTACATGACATTCTTAATACAAGTACAAAATTTCACAACAATCGGTCGAGTACTTTCGGAGATTATCTGTCTAATAAAAATCCGGGGGCAGACGGACAGACGGACAGACGGACAGACAGACAGACAGACGGAAATGGGAGACCTATTTCTTCGTCTTCTAGGGGTCATGAAAGATCGAGAAAACGTAAAAGTAGAGAGTCGGCCAACGGACTCGATTACAATACTTCCTTTGCTTACGCTCGGGAAGTAAAAATATAATTTCGTTTTTTAAATTTGTTAATTCCTATACAATTCATATATTATACACCAATTTTATTTATTGATATTTTTATTTATAATCCAAAACTTCAAAATAAAAATGGATAATAATCACAAAAAATACATATATCAAAACGAATAGGTAATATTTGTAAACTTCTGATATTAGAACAATGCGTGTAATAGTAGATAATAAAAAAATGTTATGTTATGACGCCACTACGGCGAGCACGTTTATATTACTAGAATTCCAACAGCTATGTGATTACAAACATTCGACGAGTTCAGTTCTGAAATGAAAATATAACCTTTCTGAACAATTTACTTTCACTGGAATATTCGTGAGTAATTTTAGTGATTCCTAAACATGCTCGCTGCGCTCGCATTATAAAAACTGCGTGGGTATATATCGAATAATATTTCCCGGAAGACTGAATTATGAATGAAATTAAAATCATAAGGGTAACGCTACAAACAAGTGTTGTATATCGCGATCACCACGAAAATCTTAAATCTTTCGAGCAATGAGTCGAAAAGGTGTAGTGACTTGAGTAAAATAAACAGTGTGGTGTTTGTCGAAAGTGCACTCTCCAAGAACGGAGTGACGATCTGGATTTCGTCAGGATTTAAAGGGTGAGTTGGGTATACTCCGGGCTATTACTTCAGAATTAAACACGCTTGTTCTAATTACAGTAGGTCCGTTTCGAGAAACAGAGGGGACTCGCTACAAGCTTAGCAGAAGAGCCATAAGTTGAGTCTTTATTTAATTCGGATTTCCATACATCAACACAGTTTAAACTCAGTGTGAGTGTTTCATTGACCTCGCAGGTATTCAATCTAATCCATCCACTAATGTAAACATTAAACAAAGCTAACATACCTTCCATAGCTGTTAGATTTACCAAAGTGTGGTCGGTTTCAAGGTTGCACAACTACATATGCTAGAATTTAATAAACTCCGGGAATTTTTAAAAGCAACAAACACTCGCCGTGCCAAGCATAATATCCACGAACTTCAGCCCGGCCCACTCCGGAAAATTCCCTCGTACACGTCATAACCCAAACTCCCCAACAATGCAAGGCATGCTGTTAAAACCAGGAGTCGACTTTAATTTAACATGCTCCGTTAGTAATGAGAAATTCAAGTCGTAACCAACCTCTGCCAAGCAAAAACCCTCTCGCTAGCACAAGCTCCGAATCAATTTCGTGCAGCAAGCTCGCACCAAAGCGTCTATTTTTGCTCAACGCCCTGTAAATCCTCCTCGCATCCTTGCAGCATCTCCTCGCTGGAAAGTCAGTGTTTTCGTTTTCGTAACCTACTTAATTTCGGCCGGTTAAATTTAGGCGATGACGTGGAGCACACAAGCCAAGCAACGGGGGAAACGGCACAACGAAAACCAACACACAATGACTCACCGCCGTCGCTCTCGGACGCCTCCGCTATCTCCATGAACTCCTGCAGGTGCTTCGGGAGTTTCTCCTCCTCGTCGTCGGTTTTCTCCTCGTTTTTGTTCAGTTTCCCCAGCTTCTGCTTCTGCTTCACCATGTCCATGAACTCGTCCTCGATCCCCGCCGCCGCCCTCGCCGCGGGCGCGCTGTCCACCTGGGACACCTTCAGCACCTTCAGCTGCTTGCGCTCCTCCCGCTCCTTCATCTTGTCCAAGTACTCGTCGTACATCTGTCTTCGGAAGACTTCGGTGGCCACCGGCATCGACACCGGCCGCGGCTTGCGGCTCTCCGCGAAGTCCCCGCGCTTCGAGATCATGAAGTCCTCCTCCCGGAACCTGCGCGGACCCTCCAGCTGGCGCTTCTCCTCCTCTAACAGCTCCAGCTCCTCCTGGATCTCCCGCTCCTTCTCCTGCAGGAAGCGCATCTGCTGCTCGTAAAACCCCGCCGACTTCCTCCGGTCGCTGCTCTCGTCCTTCCTCCTCGCCAGCTCCAGCCACTCCGACAGGTCCTTCGCTTTTAATCGCGCGCTTTCCATGTTGCGCGGCAGCGTACTGAACTTCATAACTCTCGGTTCTTGTGCATCTCGGATGATTGCCAAAAGGCGAGGCTCGATCGAGCTAATTTCGACTTGTCTGTCAACCGCACGACGCCCCCCAGAAATAACCTCCTGGTGCACGAGGTCCTGGCGTAAGTCGCTGGTGAGGTGCTCGATGCTGGAGGACACGTCGGCGAGCTCCTGGAGCACGTCGGCGCCGAAGGGCTGCGACATGAGGAAGTCGACGCAGAGCTGACGCAAGCTGGCGGGGGACTCGGCCTTGCCACCTTTGAAAGAGTCGTCGTCTTTGATTGAGGTTATGTCTGCGATGGAGCTGTTCATGGGGTTGTATTTGGCGGTGCAGAGGGAGGTGGCGCGGCTGGAGCCGCTGCTGAGGGACGGGGAGGGGGAGGGGACCGGGGGGCTGAGGACGTTGGTGTAGAACAGACTTTCGGGGACCTGGACGCTGCAGATGCTCTCGACCTCCTTGGAGGGAGATTCGGTTAGTTTGATGGTGATTTGCTTAGACGGAGACTCTTGTTTAGGTTTGGACTCTTCCTGGAGGATGGACTTTAATCGGCTGGTAGATTTAGGTTCTAGATCTTCTAATAAGTCTTTCAGACGACTTGGAGTTTCTACCTCCACAGGAATATTTCTAGTTACGGGTTTGCCGCTCGGCACTAGAACCACAGGAGGCGTCAAATCGTCGAGCTTAATAATCTCTGGAGACGATTTAAGATCAGGCGTTCTGATTATTTCCACGTTCTTCACAGATTTTGGATCACTTTCTATTTTCACTTCTAAATCTTTTCTAACTCGGTTTTGCGTATTAAATTCGCCGATGTTGCAAGTACTAATATTTGCAAGATTTTCAGTAGATGTGTCTTCCTTTTCCACTTTTACTTCTATTATTCTTTCTTTGGACTTTTCTGGTATCGGGATGTTACTATTTCCAACTTTGTTTTCTGTTCTTCTGTACAGATCTTGATGACTAAAAGTTCTATTTTCGTGTCGTATATATTTAGATTCCTGTTCTCGCTCAAAATCTATAATTTTTTCTTTGGCTAGGTGCGGCTTTTTCCAAATATCTTTCCCCGGGAAATCTAGGTTTTGACTAAACCTAGAATCCCGTTCGACTCGAGCTTCTAAAATTTTTTCTGATGTTTTATATTCGTCCAAAGAGTGACTCTTTCCAAATATAGCCTTTTTTAAAACAGGATCGCCTTCGAGTCGAATTTTTATAATTTTTTCCTTAGTATTTTCATTTTTATTTTCTTGCTTCTTCTGAGGAAGTTTGGCCCCATTTTCGAGATTTATTTCTATCAATCTTTCTTTCGCAGTTCCAGAATTTTTTGATAATTCCTTTGCAGAAAGATTATTCGATGAATCTTTAGAAATGACATCTTCATGCGGTTTTTCGAGCTTTATTTTTATTACAGTTTCTTTGGAAATTTCTGATTTTTCCGATTCCTCCCCAGAATCATTTTTAGATGATTTTTTGACAACAAAATCTTCGTTTTCCTTATGGACAAGCTTCGAATCGTCTTCAATCTTTATATCTATCACTCTTTCTTTGGAAACGTTTGCATTTGGTGACGATTCCTTAGAAATAAGATCTTCATTTTTAGTTTGACTAGATTTAGAATCTCCTTCAAGCTTTACGTCGATTATTCTCTCTTTGGAAGCATCTTTATCTTTAGAAATTATTCCTTCATTTTTCACTTGGTTGGATTTAGAATCTCCCAAAATTTCTACGTCTATGATCCTTTCTTTGGAAATGTTTGTAATGTTAAACGATTTTTCTTCGCTTTGACTAGATGTAGAATCTCCTTCAAATTTTACATCTATTATCCTTTCTTTCGAAACATTTGTGGTTTTGGACGATTTTTCGGAAATAAAATCTTCTTTCTTCGCTTGAATAGATGTAGAATCTCCTTCTAGTTTTACATCTATTATTCGTTCTTTGGACACATCTGAGACTTTAGATGATTCTTTGGAAATAAAATCTTCATCTTTCACTTGGCTAGGTTTAGAATCTCCTTCAAATTTTACATCTATTATCCTTTCTTTCGAAACGTTTGTGGTTTTGGACGATTTTTCAGAAATAAAATCTTCTTTCTTCACTTGAGTAGATGTAGAATCTTTTTCAACTTTTATATCTATTATCCTTTCTTTGGACACATCTGTGCCTTTAGATGATTTCGCTTGGTTAGATGTAGCATCTTCTTCTAATTTAATGTCTATTATCTTTTCATTCGAAATATTTATGGGTTTAGACGAATTTTTAGAAACAAAACCTTCATTTTTAGTTTGACTGGATTTAGAATCTCCTTCAAGTTTTACATCTATTATCCTTTCTTTGGGAACATGCGTGCTTTGAGAAGACTCTTTCGAAGTAACATATTCATCTTTTTTCTTTTGAATAAATCTAGAATTATCTTCAATGTTCATTTCTATTATTTTTTCTATTGGTGTTGAAAACGAGGAAGCACTTTCAAGTTTCACTTCTATTATTCTTTTTTTGGCATGTCCTTGCTGTATAGATTCTTCTATAGAAGGACTTTTTGGCGAATCTTTGGAAACCTTATCGCTTTCTCGAACAGGTTTAGTTTCACTTTCGAGTGTTACTGGTATTATTCTTTCTTTGGACTCTTCTAGTTTCATAGATGTTTTTTCTGCACGTGATTCTCTATTTTCCTTAGAAATTTCTGACTTTTTGGATTCTTCCACAGAATCAATTTCTTGCGATTTTTTAAAAATCATAGCATCATCTTTTTTCTGTGCAGATTTAGAATCGCTGTCAAGTTTGACTTCTACTACTCGTACTTTCGAAACTTCTGATTCTGAATCGGCAGAAAAAATTGTCGTATCTAGTTTTTGAGCAGTGTCTTGAGCAACTTTAGGATCTTGTTTATTTTCTACATCTATAATTTCGTCTTTGGCACATTTGACCTCACTGTCTTCAGTTTTCGTTAGTTGAGCTTTCTCTTTGGTTTCGTCCAGTTTTGTCGCCTCTATATTTTCCGAATTATCGGGAGTCGGAGGCGGCGTTAACTCCGACAAAATCTCCTTTCCTAGATTCTCGTCCATACAAACCAGAACCCCGCTTTTCTTCACCGTCACTTTAACTTTCTTCGTTTCCTCCACCACCTCCGACTCTCTCAAATCCGGTGCGCTCGAATTAGCACTAGATATTACGTCGTCGGTATCCTTTTCTTCGTCGTCCGACTTAGGGTCCGGGGTGGTACTATTCGAACTATCTTCCAGAAACACGACCTCGGCTCGCGCTTGCGGCACCACGGTACTCACCATAGGTATATCAATGATCCTCGTACCGACCAAAATGGCCGGATTTTCCACCACGTTTCGTTTTTTGGGTGGTCGTACCGGGACTTCCGGTTCCGGAGTACCTTGTTTCAAGTGTCGAGTCGCTGGTTGCTCCCTGTCGCTCAAATCGCTCGCTTCCTCGCTGATGACGTCCAAAAAGCGCGGGTTGTGCACCATGGGGGAGAAGTACTGTTCGAGGACAGCGCGTTTGCGGGCCCGGCGGCTTTTGACGGAGTCGATGGTACTGAGTTGGATTTGCTTGAAGGCGTCTTCAGGGGAGTTGACGAGGTTCAAACCTTCGAGGAAGTTGCGGAGGGTGAGTTCTTCTTCCGGGGAAATGAGGGAGACTTGTTGCGTCGTACATTGTTCTAGGGGAAGGTAGAGAGCGTTGGTACTCGTCAGGGTACTCGTTTGGGGTTCGAGTTCGTCGATCGTCGCCGCGGTTTCCCACTCCACGTCACTCTCGGCTTCGGAAATTATTGCTTTGCACTCGGATTTGTCCTCGCTTTCGCTTACTTCTGACAGTTCTTGTATTTTGACGTCGTCGTCGTCGTCTAGACTACGACTCTTGATTGGTTTTTTTTCCGGCGACTTAACCCGTTTCGGGGATTCCACTTGGTACTCTTTCTCTTGAACATCGCATTCCCCAATCTCCTCTACTATTACTTCCGTCGTACTAATCACCTGGCGCGCTTTCTTCCGGTTGTTCCTCCTCCTTCGCCTCCTCCCGTTATCGGCCATATCTACATAAATCGGACGGACACATTTAAAGGACAGGTGATGGAAGAAACACAGGAAGAAGCGTTATTCGATGATGTCACTGCACATTACGTAAGTACTCATACACTAGGATATTATTAGCGACTGCTCGCACTTGCACGCACACGACACTGACAGAGGATTTTTAAGTGAAGCGGGATTTATTACCAGCCATTGTAAATGAATTTTAGCGTTCTGCGACACACGTGAGAATGCGTTAACAATGATAAGGAAGTTTTCGTTGTTTAGAGCGAGCGCAATTAGTGCGCCACTAGGTGCTACGGAGCTGAGTCCACTTGAACTCGCTTCGTCGTTAATTGGGAGCGATTAGTCAACTGCGACTTACCTGACGGTGACGTAAGAGAGGTGTACGTCGATGTGGATGAGCTGGACGAGCAGTTGGACGAGAGGGTGGACCTCTGGGAGGCGATGGGGTGGGTGGGTGGGTCACCTGCAAAAAACCACAGTTACATAACAAATAAATAAAACTAACGGTTTTGGTGCAGTATGCATCGATCAATGCTAATTACCCCGTTTCCGCGCAATTGTCTTCTGGGAAGTGTGTCAAGGCGGATCGAGCGGGCGGATATAGGCTGGATGTTGGCAAAAATTCGCAGTTATTATGCGAAAAATCGGCGATTTAGATTCGGGCAGATCGAAGGTTATTATTATTATTATTATTATTGTTATTATTGTTTTGTTGTGACGGATGTGGCTATCTGTGTTTTTTCATTTCAATGGTTTGGGGATAACCTTTGTGGCCTCTTGTGACAAGTGTTACTAATTTTAAATAAAATTTGTTGGTTTTGATTGGCGTGGATGGGGGGATGTGCACGGATTTCGTTTTGGTGTCAATTATGTTGGATGGTTATTGTTGGTGTGGAGGATGCATGTAAATGGCGGCGATGTGGTGGATTAAGTGGGATTGTTTGGATGGAGCGAGGTGCGAGGCAGGGGGTTCTGGGTCCAAGTTTGTCGCCGATTTTTATTAATGATCTATTATATTGTTTTCGTTTCTGTTTAGAAGAATTTGAAGTTTGCGTGTCTATTTTTTGTAGATCTTTTTAATTTTTAACTTCGACTGATATTTTTTAACAACCTCAATTTTCACGTGTTTTTATAAGTTTTGGGATTCGTCGACAGAATCAACTTCCGATGACTTTTTTTTCATTTCATTTTGAAGTTGGTAATTCGTTTGAAGAAAGATTCTTCGATAAATCCTTGGAAAACACATCTTTATGTGTTTTTTGAACGATAACAATCAATTTCGAACCCTACTTTATGTTTCTTTAGAAATTTGCGACTTTTCAGATTCCTTTGCAAAATCATTTTTAGACGATTCTTTGAAAATGAAATTTTCATTTCTGGTTCGACTAGATTTAGAATCTTTCAAATTTTATCCACATTATTCTTTTTTTCTCGAAAAAATTGTGATTTTAGATGATTTTCTTTTAAAATAAAATTCCCAATCTTCTTTTTCAAAATATTTCTGATTTTAGGCGATTTTTATACAAACAAAATTTTCATTTTTCACTTCAGTGGACTTGGAATCTTTTTGGAACCAGCTGTGACTTTAGACAATGCCTCGAAAATAAAATCTTCGTCTGTATTTGGCTAGATTTAGAATATCCTTCAAGTTTTATCCCTATTGTCCATTTTTTCTCGAAAAATTTGTGATTTTAGACGATTTTCTTTAGAAATAAAATCCTCAATCTTCATTTGGTTAGATTTAGAATCTCGGTCAAGCTTTGCGTCTATTATTCTCTCTTTTGAAGCATCTGTGTGAAGACAAAAATTTTATTTTCAACGAATTATCTGAAGAGATTCCTTGAACGTAAAATTTTCGTCGCCTGTTTGCTTAGATTTAGGATCTTCTTCAAATTTTATTTCTATTATTCGTTCTTTAAAACACTTGTGATTTTGGAAGATTTTTGTTGAAATAAAATTTTCATTCTTGACTTCAGTAGACTTATTAGAGTCTCAAATTTGGAACCATTTGTATCTTTAGAAGGTGCTTTTGAAATAAAATCTTCCTCTTTAATTTGACTAGATTTAGAATACCTTCACGTTCTATTCCTATTTTCCCTTTTTTTTTGAAAAATTAGTAATTATAGACGATTTTCTTCAGAAATAAAATCCTCATTGTTCATTTGGTTAGATTTAGAATCTTGTAGAAACTTTCAGATGATTCCTGAAAAAAAATCTTCATCTTTCGTTCGGCTGGATTTAGAATCTCCTTCAAGTTTTATTTTTATTTTTTCTTTCAAAATATTTGTGATTTTAGGCGATTTTTATAGAAATAAAAGTTTCATTCTTTACTTCAGTATACTTATTAGAATCTCGAGTTTTACATTTATTTTTATTCTTTCTTTGAAGCCATCTGTATCTTTAGATGGTGCTTTTGAAAAAAAATCTTTAATTTAACTAGATTTAGAATATCCTTCAAGTTTTATCCCTATTATCCTTTTTTTCTCGAAAAATTTGTGATTTTAGACGATTTTCTTTAGAAATAAAATCCTTAATCTTCATTTGGCTCGATTTAGAATCTCGTTCAAGCTTTGCGTCTATTATTCTTTCTTTTGAAACATCTGTGTGGAGACAAAAATTTTATTTTCAAGGAATTATCTGAAGAGATTCCTTGAAAATAAAATTTTCGTCTTCTGTGTGCTTAGATTTAGGATCTTCTTCAAATTTTATTTCTATTATTCGTTCTTTAAAACACTTGTGATTTTGGAAGATTTTTGTTGAAATAAAATTTTCATTCTTCACTTCAGTACACTTATTAGAGTCTCAAATTTGGAACCATTTGTGTCTTTAGACGGTGTTTTTGAAATAAAATCTTCCTTTTGAATTTCACTAGATTTAGAATATCTTCAAGTTCTATTCCCAGTTTCCTTTTTTTTGAAAAATTAGTAATCATAGACGATTTTCTTCAGAAATAAAATCCTAATTGTTCATTTGGTTACATTTAGAATCTCGTAGAAACTTTCAGATGATTCCTGAAAAAAAATTTTCATCTTTCGTTCGGCTAGATTTAGAATCTCCTTCGAGTTTTATTTTTATTATTTTTTCTTTCAAAATATTTGTGATTTTAGGCGATTTTTACAGAAATAAAAGTTTCATCCTTTCCTTCAGTATACTTATTAGAATCTCGAGTTTTACATTTATTTTTTTCCTTCTTTGAAACCATCTATGTCTTTAGACGGTGCTTTTGAAAAAAAAATCCTCTTTATTTTGGCTAGATTTAGAATATCCTTCAAATTTTATTCTCATTGTCCAATTTTTCTTGCAAAATTTGCGATTTTAGACGATTTTTGGAAATAAAATCCTCAATCTTTATTTGGCTAGATTTAGGGTCTTCATCAAGTTTTATTTCTATTATTCTTTTTTTTTGTAGATTTAGAAGATTTTTATAGAAATAAAATTTTCATTCTTCACTTCAGTCGACTTGAGAGTCTCAAATTTTACATTTATTTTTATTCTTTCTTTGAAACCATCTGTATCTTTAGATGGTGCTTTTGAAAAAAAAATCTTTAATTTCGCTAGATTTAGAATCTCCTTCAAGTTTTATCCTCATTGTCTAATTTTTCTTGCAAAATTTGCGATTTTAGACGATTTTTGGAAATAAAATCCTCAATCTTTATTTGGCTAGATATAGGGTCTTCATCAAGTTTTATTTCTATTATTCATTTTTTTGTAGATTTAGAAGATTTTTATAGAAATAAAATTCTCATTCTTCACTTCAGCCGACTTGAGAGTCTCAAATTTTACATTTATTTTTATTCTTTCTTTGAAACCATCTGTATCTTTAGATGGTGCTTTTGAAAAAAAAAATCTTTAATTTCGCTAGATTTAGAATCTCCTTCAAGTTTTATCCTCATTGTCCAATTTTTCTTGCAAAATTTGCGATTTTAGACGATTTTTGGAAATAAAATCCTCAATCTTTATTTGGCTAGATTTAGGGTCTTCATCAAGTTTTATTTCTATTATTAATTTTTTTGTAGATTTAGAAGATTTTTATAGAAATAAAATTTTCATTCTTCACTTCAGTTGACTTGAGAGTCTCAAATTTTACATTTATTTTTATTCTTTCTTTGAAACCATCTGTATCTTTAGATGGTGCTTTTGAAAAAAAATCTTTAATTTCGCTAGATTTAGAATCTCCTTCAAGTTTTATCCTCATTGTTCAATTTTTGTTGCAAAATTTGCGATTTTAGACGATTTTTGGAAATAAAATCCTCAATCTTTATTTGGCTAGATTTAGGGTCTTCATCAAGTTTTATTTCTATTATTCATTTTTTTGTAGATTTAGAAGATTTTTATAGAAATAAAATTTTCATTCTTCACTTCAGTCGACTTGAGAGCCTCAAATTTTACATTTATTTTTATTCTTTCTTTGAAACCATCTGTATCTTTAGATGGTGCTTTTGAAAAAAAAATCTTCTTTAATTTGGCTAGGTTTAGAATATCCTTCAAGTTTTATCCTTTGCATAAATAGTGATTTTAGACAATTTTCATTTGAAATAAAATCCTCGTTCTTCATTCAAGTTTCCGCGAGATTTAGAATCTTGCTGAAACTTTACCTCTGTTATTCTTACTTTGGAAGCATCTGTGTTTTCAGATGTCTCCTTGGAAACAAAATTTTCATTTTTCGTTTGGCTAGATTTAAAATCTCCTTCAAGCTTTATCTTTACTATTCTTTCTTTCAAAACATTTGCGATTTTAGACGATTTTTATAAGAACAGAATTTTCATTCTTCATTTCAGTAGACTTAGAATCCCCCCAAGTTTTACGCTTACTTTTATCCTTTGTTTGGAACCGTCTGTGTCTTTAGACGATGTCCTGGAAACAGAAGCTTCCTCTACAATTTGGCTAGATTTAGAATATTCTTTAAGTTTAATCCCCATTGTCCTTTTTTTCTTGAAAAATTTTCGATTGCAGAGGATTTTTAGAAATAAAATCCTTAATCTTCATTTGGTTAGATTTAGAATCTCGCTCAAGCTTTACGTATATTATTCTTTGTTTTAAAGCATCTGTTGCTTCAGATGATTCCTGGACAATAAAATTTTCATCTTCTGTTTGCCAAGATTTAGAATCTTCTAGTTTTATTTTTATTATTTTTTTCTTTCAAAACATTTGTTATTTTAGAAAAGTTTTATAGAAATAAAATTTTCATTCTTTATTTCAATAGACTTAAGGTGGATTTCACCAACTTCAATTAAAGTTAAAGATAGAATAAATCCATAGAAACGATTATTATAATGATACGATTGTTTTTAAATTTTCGTTAACTTTAACTGGGGTTGGTGAAATCCACCCTTGGAATCTCAAGTTTTACATTTATTTTTTTTTATTCTTTCTTGGGAACCATCTGTGTCTTTAGACGGTGAATTTAACTAGATTTAGAATATCTTTGAAGTTTTCTCCCTGTTATCATTTCTTTTGAAAAAT